ATTAAGGTTTGCTTCTGTTGGGGGACAGTTGGCAGACAGATAGTGATAGAGTTGGGATTATGGTTGAAGCTTAATATTTAAGCTCTCAAGGATGATAAAACACATGGCATTTCCAAATGCATCGAGCAGGGATCCGATTAATATTTCAGATACTATTTGGTTGTTTTGGAAATGTTGTAAATAATACCATCAAAATAAAACTGATGTTTTTCTCAGCTGTTGCAAAATGTGTTTTGTCTCTCCTGCCACGAAATGAAACAACGTCACAGGTGAATTTCATCCAAACCGAATATATTTTCCATGGGAGGCTCGCGCATTGAGGCAGCTTTAACCAGTACAGCACCCCATTGCAGTCCAGCTGTTCAGCATTGATCCCTCTGTGTTTTCTGATGCACTGGCCCGGAATGTGATGTTATTTCATTACTGAGGCAGAGGCGACAAGCTCGGTCTCCTCCCCCAGGGCACCGGCCACTCACTTGGACAGGGGCACTGTATGTAATCATAACTGAACGGCTTAGTCAGACGAGCTCAGTTGCCTATGGGAAGTTCAAATTAAGCGGGGAGAAAGTTTAGAGTCAGGAGAAAAGTCGGGAACACACATCAGTGAAAGAGAATTGAAAGGCCTGGACAGGAAAAACAGAACCAAGCACTGCATTAAAGACCTGTCAGCAGCAATGGACTCAGACGACAATGAACTCGGTGTCTTCACTGTCATTCAGTGAGTAGTAGCTGTGGATTGTTCTGTACTAACTTTATAATTCAGTCAGAGCTGATTAGTCACAACTGTTATTTCGCTGATGATAGTTGATGATAGTTATCACACTAAAAGTTGTGTTTGTTATGACGATAATAGAGGGTAACAAGACCAAGTTTTTCACTTCAGCCTAACATTGGTCATTTGAATGAGCATTGACTTAATCAAATAATGCTTATGAATAGATTTTGTGTTTGACGAGGAATGCAGACTGACAACCGTTAAGTTATTCTTTACCACTGCATCTGACTAATCATGTATTGTATGTTTTGTGGAATTTGCAAAGTTTTTCTGTGAGATTCGCAGCCTTCTTTAAATAATCAGTGTTTAAGAACTTTCACAATAACTTTTTTTTGTATACCTCCATTCTTGAGTGACGGTAGTCTAACTACTGTATGGTTAAGTTATTTTCAGAGCCACATTTGTGACATGTTAAAGTTGGAAAAGCAAAATACATTACCTTTGATGGCTACCTTCAATTTAGATGTGTAACTTTAAGAATCTTCATCTAGGATGTCACACACTGGCTCAACTTACTTAAATGTAAAAGGCAATTAATAACCATTTTAACACCTGTGTTTCTTTTGCTTTAAGAAGTCAAAAATGGTTTGCTGATAAAGACATATATCTCAAGTTTACATTTGGTCAGATTAGTAAGACATATAGCAAGATATTAGGGTTGGATACATAGAGTCTAAGATAGGATTTTCCCGAATATATTACAGAAGCAATCCTGAGAAACTTTTACAAATCTTATTTTACTTCAACTTTTATGCAAGTTATTTAGCTACAAACACTACTTTGTTATCCTCTTTAAAACATACTGAATTGTAGATGCGTTGGTAAGATCTGTAGAGGAATCCAAAGATGTTATTTTTGGGAAGATGTAGCCTGTATCAACTAATTAACACATCGTTGCTTCGTTGGGGTCGGCCATAACCCTTTCACTCAATAAGCTCCGCCTCTTTACATTTAGTTTGGGTAAAAGCAATACAAAAGCAGCTGTACAGATAAGATAAGTAATAGTTAGGACAGCACAGCAATTATCCTACACTTTTCCTATCTTAAGTTATGATAGGAACATAAACAAAGGAATAATTCATCTGTAATGGCTTTTTTCATAAATCCGGTCTTAACCTTAATTACCTTGGTTACTAAAAAGTTAAGATCTGCAAGTTAAGAAATGTCTCTTTAAAGGTCACAGGAATAATGATAAAGGGAATTTGAATAAACAAAATGAGAACAGCTTTGATAGACTGGCTAATGTCCATAGTGGTCTGGCCTCCTGCCCAATGCATGCTGGGAGAAGCATCTTTCTGTAGCTACCCTGAGAAGGATAAGCTGATGTAGGAGTCAAATAGATAGAGGAATTTACCAAATGTGACCTGCCATTGACCCGCATGTTTGATAACGTGCATGTTCACCAGAAACACAGCACATGTACTGTAGGTGTCCAGCATTTTGTCAGTAACTTGTTACCACTCAACACTAAAAAAAAATGTATTCCTTTGAACTTTATCAGCAGGTTTAGTGAAACTGGCAAACCAAATCCATGGTCTTTTCAAAGCGTAGCATAACGGCTGGTAACAGTTCACTTCTTATCCCAATTAATCACACCACTGAATATTCATGGGAATCAGATCTTCAAATTCCCTACTAAAAGGTGTTTAATTCACCCAAAAAATTAGCCGCGCACAGGCACAATGGTCCTGCACTAACAGATCGAGAAAGATACTGGGGTGGTTCATATATGAGGCGAATGCATGTTTACAAATTCTCCAAATAAGACAAAATGCTGCTGATGACAAAATTAAGTGTGGTTGCACTCTGAGGGCAGTTGGCATGCTGTGGACACTGACACACATCTGGTTGAGGTCCAATGCCCACTAATGCTAAGTTGGGATCAGAGGGCGGTAATAGCTAAATCACATTACCATACTGCAGAGTGTAGTATTAAATGCTGCTCAATCTGCAACACTAAACATGAAAAATCCCTGAAAAATCGACTGTTTTTATGATTCAAAGTATAGATGTCTGCTAAGCATGTCTGCATGCTAAGCAATTCAAACACTGCTTATTTGAGTTTTAAAAGGCAACAAGCAATGAGATCCAAAGGCAGGACTTGCAGAATGTGAGCCCTGCTGGGTTGTAAGGGGCCAAGTGTGCCAGAATGACTGAAATCAGCTGTTTTAAAAGACTCAGAGAGAGGGGAGAGTTAGGGATGAGCAGGGCAGCTGGGTTTTATCGGTCAAAGCTTCAGCCATAGTCTCCTCAGATCACCATTCTGTCTGACCCTAATATTCTCTGCCACTAATGTTGGCCTCTGTGCCACAAGCCCAAATGGACAAAAATAACAGACTGAAATACGCTGCGTCTCTCCACCCCCCATAGGACACCAAGGTTGTGTTTTAAGCAAATCCTCAGACATTTGCTCCTCGCTCATTCGTGCATTTTTGATCTCTTGGGTTTACTCCACCAAAAAAAAACTGCCTGACCCCTCCCAGAGATGTATCATCAGCTAAACTGTTTGGTTTGAGAATGAGATAACGTGATGATTCACTCCATTTTCTCTCTTTAAAAAAAATTGATACATTCTCTCAGGTTCACAGACTTTAAGTAAAACATTCAAATCTGTCAGAGACAATTGTGAGATTCACCGTTTTCCATCTAGTTGTATATTTTCTATGGAAGCAAACAAATGTGAGCCTGAGTGGAAATGACAACATTCTTTATTGCATGTATCACTCTCAGCAAAGGCACATTGACTCACCCTGCAGAGGCTTATAAGTTGTGGCATTTTAATATAGCATGTTTGCTACTCGGCTGTGGAAGCTGTAACAAATCGTAGCTTGAAATTTATATACTATGTATTTCTATTTATTTATCCATTACTACCTGCCACTTTTATTGATTGGATTGTTTATGTATTGTTATGTTGAGGCCACAGCAGAGATTCACTTTGAATATAAATAGTTAGGGAAATATCTCATTGTATCCCTTTTTAAGTTGTATTATTTTGACTATACTGTTTTATGAATGAACAAGAGCAATGTGTGTGTTTCCTCAGTGTATTGACATGTTGAGCATTATTTATTGATAGTAGTAAACATCTGTATTCTAACAGCTTTGTCTGTTTCCTGTAGGCGCATCACAGATCAGGATAACAGAGTAAATTGTCTGAATTCCCATTGTAGAAGATTCCTTTTATCAAAACTGTCTCAGCTACGTGAAGAAGTGTGGAACCTCCTTGGATCAGAGACAAGGCTAATTGGGTCTTGGTGGATTTTGACAGTGGTGCCTCATCTGTGCTGTTTGATTTATGAAGGTAGATCCTTCCTCTTTGTGGATGGCAGACACGTGGTGATTCTTCATCTGGAGATGGGGCTGAAATCGGGAGTAACACTTAGCCGAATAATATGTGGTTTAAATGTTCAGGACTCTGCTCATTCATCAGTTTACCGGCATTTGTAATCTTGGCATGCTAATAGGAACTCTCAAACACATTGAAATTGCCCTTCATCTTGAACTGGATGAGAAAACGTATATGAAAATGGATGGAGATTCTATTAAAAAATATCACAGAGGAAATGAGATGCTCGAAGCCTCTATTAGCAGGCGAATCACAACAGCCCTTGTCTTCGCCCGTCATTAATTAATCACCCAAATATTATTATCTATGATACATTTCCGTTCTGCATACGGCGATCGCACAATCCTGATGTTCTGTTGACACCAGTGAAACAGCTCGGTGCTTGTTTGTTTTGGGTGGAATGCTAAAATGTTTGGAGGCCTCTCATGAATAGCCTCATTGAGAGAAAGCATTGCAGCTGAACTGTTTTTGAAAGGTCAAAACAAATGCAGTGTACAGTAGGGGCATCCTAATGTGCAGCTGTGAGGCAGAGACCCCAGCTGGAGAGGGGGGACACATTAGGACTTCCTGTCTCCCGAGCTGCTCATCTGTTGCTTGTTGCACTCTCTGTACGAGCACATCATGCCGTGTGTCTCCCGCATGTCATCTCTCATCATTTAACCTTTTCCTGCTTGCTGGAAACACACCGCATGTCTGAGGATTGATGAGGCTCGCCTTTGGGGAATTCTTGAAAGCTGTCTGTATCCTTTAGTAGTAATCCTCATGGCCCTTGCTTCCATAAACACACTCACCATCCTCTCACATTCCTCATTTTCTCTCTCTTCCACTCTCATCTCCCACGACCATCGCCCCCCCTGTCCCTCCCTCCTTCTCTCTGCTCCTGACTCTCTCTGCCTCTCTCCAAAGCTGTTGTTACTGTGTGACTCCCGCACATCATTCCACCGCGATGGAAATTAAATGAAGGTGGCTTAACGCAGCTAACAGAGGCATGCTTTGAAGGATGTAACCGGGGGAAGCTGCTCTGCCAGATCCTTTTGCATGAGCTGTGGATTTGCGCTGCTGAGGCGAGGACACAGCAATCACTCAGCCATGCAGAAGCCCAGACAACAGGACTAATCTCTCCACCTGAATTGTGGAAGCTCCACTTTTTTTTCCTGAATTATTTATTCCTCGCTTCCAAAGACAGTGTGGGACAATGGAGTGAAGTACATGGTTAATGTGTAGCTTTGACTGCAGTCTGCAGCGCACATGGATGTGTTCAGCTTTGTGAAGATGCCAAAGCTGTCAGGGTGAGTTCGACGGATGCTTCTGTTCGTTCTCTAGCAGGTGGTGTTTCGTGTCTTCGCATGGGCTTGATTTATATATACGACATAAGAATCACATGTGGAACGAGGGGATTCAATATGCTGAGTTATTGATTGCTCAAGAGAGCAAGTTGTGCAGTCATGTATGATGTAGTGAAGTAGACAGGAGTGGGGTGGATGCAGAGGATGATGCAGTTATTTTATGTAAACTGTGTGGATATAAGTTCGTAAATGTCTTGGACTGCGGAGAATAGTCATGGTTTGTTGCTTCATGTGGTGTCATCAAACCATACATGTTCTGAAACACTACGAGGATGATGTGTGGATGTTTCAAATTGAAATAACTTCAGGCCAAAGATAATGATTACCAATTCATGTCATAAGTAATTTTCAACCTTTTTTTGGTTTACAATTTACTGTTCCTGGTCTTTAGACTCATACTGTACATATGTGTGGTCATTTAATATAATTGGTCAAGTTCACATTCCATTGCCCAGAGCAGGAGGATGAACACTAAGAGATGACTGACAGGTTAAAGGCTTGCTGTTGCACAATGAAAACAATACATAGGAGGAAACAAACCCACCACATTTAGAGTCTTATTGTAACTCTTCAATGGGGAAATTGTTTTTAACATGAATGTGATGGTAAATATGTGGCATGTGAATGTTGGACTAAAAGTCTGGAGGAATGTATTCGTTGTCAGGGTGACACCTCACCTCATGCACCCATGGGTCTGATAGATTGAGTTGATGTGCCCCAGTGGACACTAATCCTCCTCTGGGATTTGGCTCCATCAGAAACACCACAGACCACTGGTGGGGGAACAGCTGATCATAAATGGGAATTATTCAATCAGATACTGTTTGTGTCACAAGAATGCTCGCTCAGTGCATTTCGCGTATGAGTCATCAACAGACTGCACTGGTATTTTTCTCATTAGTTTAAAAAAAAGAAAGACAAACAATAACAGCAACCCACTGCAGCGAGGAAGGATAGTAATGCTTGAGATGTTTTTTTCTGCGTAGAATGAACATTTCCTTTCTTGACCATTCCTAGAGGAAAGCAGGCTTCAGATTAAAAGGGCCGTTGTTTTCCAGTTAGTATCCCTCGGCGGAAGCATTTCTGATGCTACTCCCAGTGGACCAGCATGGTCACTGCACCCTGTCACTGTTAATAAACCACACAATGCTATCCCTGATTATGAGTTACCACTGCTACACTGGCGTTTTGTGTTTGTTTTCTCTCTCTCAGCTGCCAGAAAGCATTTAGATCAGCATGACTCTACTTTGCTAAGGCTACAGAGAAACCCACTGTATGTACTTAGAGATGTACCAGTAAGGGAACATTTTCTTCATTCTCTCCTACTGCTGCCTTACAACGCCCCCAGACGTGACTGCCTCAGAAACAAAGGGATGCTCTTTCTTACATTTTCCTTCATTGTTTTTCGTGTTTCAATCTAACACTTTCACATGGTTGACGTTCTTTTGTTGGAGGAGTGATTACTAGATTTCACCCCCATTTTTTAAAAAGAAAGTTGGCAGCGTATAACTAAAGTTTTGAAAAACTCCATCATTTGATCTTTCCATGTTGAACATTGGCTTGATTTTAGGTAGGGTATGTAAGTTTGAGAAACCGGCTCGAGATCGCTAGAATTTGAAAATACACGACTGGAGAAAATGTGCCACTTCCTTATAGAGCCCCTCCTCCAACACACACGAACGCGCACATGACCAATGAGGGCACGAGATACATTTGTGCACAGATGGAAGGCTGACAGGCAGGTAGGCCATCCAGTTACTTTAGTCGGGCCGGCTAAAATGATTGGTCGTGCTTTTTACAGTACCACGGGTTCCACAGATTACATTTTTTATGGATTTTTGCCAAAGCATTTAAGATATTCATTGCTATCGGGATGTTAGAGCATTCCATGGAATATAACAAAAAGTGTATCTCGAGCCGGTTTCTCAAACGTACATACCCTACCTTTAAGTGTTGTTAAACTTTTAATATATATATCCTGTGCTTGTTAGAAAGGATTTTTTGGCAACATTACTGTGAAGATTATGAGCCTTAACATTGCACATCTATGGACAAAGCTTTAATTATCACAGTGACTTCCTAACTCAATATTGGTGCTGACATTTGTGTGTAAGGAATTGTTTGCATTTCCGCATTGCATGGATAGAATATTTGTTATTGTGCAATAGTGCAAAGTCTTGTAAAAGATACATGTTTGCATGAAATGTGTGAGTGGATTTTTTTTCTTCATGCCATCAAGATGAATTATATGGAAGATCAGTAAAAGATCATTTACTTGTTTTGCATGACTTCACTCATGGCTGGGATTTTCTTAAAAAATCTATTATGTTCGACATGTTTTGACTGCAAACTTTTTGCACAGGAAATCACTGGTCTGGACACAAATTGATTAGCCTAATTGTTCATCAGAGTACACAACGAGCAACAGATCTGTCATTGTTAGCTGTTCTCGTCAGAAGCTCTCAGGGAAGGGTATCAGAAATGGCTTTGGGTCAGAGATGGGAGCCAGCTGGCTGGTGCACGAGGTCCCAGGCAACCATTTATTTAGTTCTCTCCTTTAAAGCTTTTAGCATAAAAGCAGTGAGTCGCACAATAAGGTGAATCCACGTCTAGTTCAGTGCCCACGGGCTAAATGCACCACTATGTTTGCTTGATGTTTTACATAACGCACTGCGAAGCAAAGGAGGCTTTGGGAAAATGCAGGGTATAAATGAAATAATAATGAAAAGATAGATGTCTATGCTTCATTCAAATGAGAAAATGTGTCGTGCGTGTGCAACCATGCACATTGAAATCTGCAAGTATAGGTGCTGCAGCAGGCTCTGTTATGTATCCAGGTTTCAAGTATAGCTGTTTAGTAAGATAATAGTGTTTGCTGTTGAACAGGTATGCAGGGGGGCTGTGAGGTCTTACTCACTGTAACAGAGCAGGAGGATCATAGCGTGTGGCCTGTTTCCCAGATGCTGTTTTATTCCCACCCAGAGGAGATTAACTAACCAAAAACCTTTTCTATATGGAGGCACCACAGAGCTGCTCAGGATAGTGCAGTTGCCCATGGCAACAATATCAGGGCTTCCAAAGACAAACACAGAAATACAATATTCAGTGGGTTTAATGGGGGGGATATAGACTCATATTCTCAAGTGTTAGAAATTCCCTCATGTGATCTGATTTAGTTGGGAAAGTGGTTTCGTGTAAATGAGGAATATATAAAAAAACACTGTTTGATTCTCTGATGTCAAATAAAAACAATAAGTAGACAAAAACAATGAGGTAAAAATCACAGAATGATGGGCAAGAATAGTACGATGACATTAAGCAATGTTGTGGTGCTCTTGTCGGCAATATTTTTGAATACTCTAACCGCCAATTTAGAAAAATGGCATGTTCTTTTGCCGTATTCACCACAAGATTAGAATGAAGCAGAGGGCCGATGTTCCTGAAACAAAAGCAGTGCGTTTGTCTCCTCGGCAGTATGGAGGTAGTTTGAAAAGGAGAAGTGGAATAAGGCCTATAATCAGAGTGGTTCCTCTCTGTCTGAACCACTTCTCTGCTCCTCCCAGGAGATGGTCATCTCATCTGCTGTCTCTTCACAGATTTCATATCCAAACAAAATCACATTAGCAGTCTGTCTCTGCATAAATGTCTCTGTTTAGCACCGAGAAGCAGCGTCACAGACTCCTTAATGTGTTTCTTCCCTCACTGTCACAAAACGAGACCAACAAATATGGATTTATTTATTTTTTTGATTAAAAAAAGCTGGGTATGTGTGCAGTGTTAAATGTAGACAGGCATTACAATTGTAATATAAATTCCTGATCCAAAGAAATCCAATTATATCTATTAGTTTAAGTCTATTGGGAATACATTTGTGATGGTGTGTTTGCATTCAGTATTTAGTTATTTTCGATTTTAAAAAGTTGGGTATGTGTGATCAGTGATAATAACAATTGTCATGGATGCCTGATCCAAAGAAGTCCAATTATATCTATTAGATTAAGTCCTTTAAAACTACTGGTAATGCATTACAGATGGTGTGTTTGCATTCAGTGTTTACCTGTGTGTGGATTTATCAAGATGCAACTGTTCTGAATGTTGCCTGACATAATGAAATAGTTTGTTAATAATACATAAGATCCTATTAGACAGGATCTTTAAAAATCACACACTCTACCGGCTTCACTGTAAGAGAAGTACGTGCTGTTTAAGTAATGGTGATGTAGCTAAGTAATATTGATATTAATGTGGCCCTCTAAACTCTTCCGGAATAATTCCCTGACTCCCCCCAAGTGCATGCTGGGAAAGCTCTAAGAGCCAATAAGTAAATGCAGAGATTTGCCCTTTGGCGATGAGCACGTTCATGTCAGTTAACAAGTTGCAAATGGGGACTTTGACACAAACTCTACTCCGAGAAAATACCTCTGAATTCCTGTTTGAAAATGAACAAATCTTTATATCCAATATGTTTAATGGCCGGCATGTGGCAACAGAGTGTGGTTTGCTATAGCCAAGCCTCATGGAGATTATCCATGTCAATTATTTAACTAACTTGAGTGTCTCTGTTGGAATGTGCTCTTCTTAGCTGCGGCTTGTCTATAATGCAGTAACTCCCTACATTAACAGGATTTCAACCTTCATAACGCACCATAACACTCCTCGGTAAGGTGACTGGCTTGTATTTAGAATAAAGAAAGGGAAAGTGAACTACTGTGATAAAGCAAGGATCACATTGTTTATGCAGTTTTTATGAAGGACTGAAAACTGATCTTTCCCATCCCAGAGGCAGTACAATTAAACTCATATGTTGAAAATGATAGTGGCTCATGAATGACATATTCTTGCCACATTCATCTGAACAAAGATATTAAGATATGATCAAAATGAAGCATTTGAATACAATTATATGGTACAACCGTGATGCTAGTTGCTGTGGTAACAAAGGCTTAGACCTTCATGTGTTTGCAACTCTATTGATTTTTATGAACTATGAGTCATTTTTCATTTTCCTCTTTTTGTTAATGATGGTTAAAGATTATGCTTTGGTTGCTCCTGGGAGGTAACTTTGCACAATTACAACAAGAATGAGTCACTATGTATTTTTGCAGTTTTTGTGCAATTCGTCTTAAAATAATATACATTTGTTTGCAACCTCTTGTTGCCATTGTCCTCCCTTTGACTCTTGGGTAACTATTCATGAATTGTGCAGCATGGCTTGCCCACTTGGCGCTCAATTACTTAGTCCGATGTGACCGTGCAGCCATCATTTATTTATGCTATAGCCGAGGAAGATCAGTTTCACTGTCCACCAGTTGGTGAACCTTTTCAGCCTCTCTGTAAGCTGGAGTGCTGCGACTCAATGGAATAATGCACCTCCCGCCTGTAGACGAAATAAATCAAAGATCACAGCGTCTATGACTGTGTCGTTAATACAGACAACTTGTGGCTGAGGGACAGAACATGGATTATGGTGTACAATTTTTAAGTTCAGAAACATATTTTAAAGGCACAGCGTCTAAAACTGTAAGTACATTATGCTTTATTACGTAGGTAGGCCTTTGGAAAATGTCATTGCCAAAGGTGTAATCCTTCAGAAATACCATCGTCAAAGAATAGGCTACTATTCTTATGCTGCAATTCTTTGACCTTTTATACATTACATCTTTTGACCTAAATGTGTACATTTGCGACATTGAACACTGCTTGTGTTAACGTGGCTGTTAGCTTTTTCCCGGAGGCTGAAATAGATGGATAAGTAGGACTCATCAATGAGGTGAACTTGGCTCCAAAAGTGTCACACAGCATCTAGTTTGTCCACACACAATTGGTGCCGCAGGAAATGTGTTCTAAATATACACCATCGAGGCCTGCTCCCAGCTAATTTACTGCGGGTCAAATAAATCCATATCCATGTGGAAACGCTATTATCACCCAAGAAAGAAAGATTGCTTCCTGTATTCAGAGCCCGACTTTAAATCTAACGCACTCAAAGACAGCATTTTCAGCACACGTCCTTTTATGAATTAGTTATAATTTAATGCATTCAGTTGCACTTAGGTGTGTTTGTTGATTTTGTTAGAATAACCCCAAAATACTTTGGCGTAGAATGCATTATTTTTGAAGTGGCTAACTTTTGCTCTGAACAGCTTTAGAATATGTTGTACCTTTTTCTCCCAGCTTATATGTTGTGTTGATGAGTTGGCAATGTTTAATTCATACCTCATGAAGTGGGCACGTGCGCCCACACAAACAGACGTGTGTTAGCGGGCACACCCACACAAACACACACTCTCATGCAGATACAAGCACCCTGCACACACTTTATTATCATCGGTACAGTAACTGGGGAAACATTTAGAGGGGAAGAAAGAGGAGCTTTGAATAATGAATGCGAAGAGCCCTGTTACACGGCAGACATGCCTTTGAAGTGACATAACTTACTGCCACTGCTTTCATAGCATCACCAGTGTGCAGACACAAAGACAGAGATAAGGGAAGGCACGGAGGGGGTGCGGACAAAAACACATTCTAACCAATTCTGCTGAAAACCTGTAACCTGCCAACTTGTGGCACAGGGGAAAGGCTAAAAGGAATTGTGCCTATTCTGATGGTAGAATCAGAAAATCTTATGTCATCTCCATCTTAGAACGAGGCAGTATTTCATAGATGGCAATAATTGTTTTGTGAATGGCTGGTTCTTTTCTTTGATACAGTTTATCAAATTGTCTTGGCATTGAGCAAATCAAAGACATTCCTCTGAGCTCCTTTTATAAATGATGTGCTGACATCTAGAAATATAAGCAATTTCATGCCTCTCAAAGCACAAGAGTGAGGCATGACAACTCCGCCTGTGTGTCTAGCTTACGTAATTAATTAGATTTGTATTCACTGAGTGAACTGCGGCTATGGAACATTGTTTATCACGCTGGAATCATCTCTTATCACTTCGAAACGCTTCATGTCAGCCCCCGATTATAATTGAACAAACTCTATTACAATTATTATTTTAAAATGATTTTGGATATAAACTGACTTTATCGTATAAGCCTGGAGCTTAACATTGCATGTTATGCACGTTTAATGAAAACGCACATTATGATATGAATTTCTACTTCGTTTCTCATCTTTTTCTTCTTCTGCAGCCACAGGACCAAATCCTCAGGCTGGCCGCCCCCTTCAGGGACCTGGAGTCATTCCCAGGGACCCCCCAATGGATGGGACATGGGCACCAATAGAGAGGGGCGTGACTGCTACATCAAGTAAGTGCCCTGTGTTTAAAGAAACAGTGTGGGGGCGTTCTTTGTCCCAGATGTTTCTTACGCTTTGCCAACCTGTGATTATTCTCCGGGCCACGTCACTGCCTCCACACTGTCTCCATCTGTGCGTTCAGACTCCTGATTCTCTGTTCCCTCTGCGCACACTCTGCCCCTGCCCACTCTTACTCTCTCTCACACACCCACAACACTCCTCATGCAGTCTCCCAAATGCAGAAGAGGGCTTTTGAGAGTGTGTGTGTGTGTGTGTGTGTGTGTGCACTGTCGCTGAGGAGGACACTCACCTATGCAGGGACTTGTTTTGATCTGAGAGTCTTGAGTGTTCCCCCGAGGATGCTGGGTTACAGTGGCATTGCCGTAATCGATCCTTCCTAATTGGCACTTCTGGATATCTATACAGGCAGGTAAAATGAAACTGCACAGTTTTTGTCATGCTTGTGTGCACATTTTAAAATGTAACTCATTAGTTTTTGCTTGTTTCATTACTAAGGCAAGGACATATCCTCAAATTTGCTAAAAGCATTCATATATACTAGATTCTGACTGTTTTAGCTAAATATTTGCTCCTTTTCTTTTATCACGAGACTGTTACTTCTGCTCATTTAACAATTATTATAATATTAATGCATCCACATGCACATCATTTTTTTGTCCTAGATTAATCTCTGTAATGTGAATAAAATCTGTGTATTTGCATGCTGTAGTGAATTGGGTGAGCACTTGTCACACTCGGGTTAAAGCATGAGCAGCGTGATGTCAGAGGAGTTATATAAGAAGTAAGGAGCAGGGAAAGTGCTGGCTGCAGAGAGGCAGATCATGGAGGCTGTTCTAGCTCCAGCTTTCTAAATTTGAGGCAGACTCATGAATTATCAAATGTCCCTTTCTGTGACTGTCTGTAGTCATCTGGGTTTGTCAAGGCTCCAGGGTGTTTGTAATAAATTGTTGTTTTTCTCAGTGGAACACATGTCTGATCTGCGTGACAAGAGCACATGAATAAAGCAGTATCTGTTTCATATTTACACTGTGACATAGGGTATGTAAAGTAGCTGTAATGGAATTTAGAGACAGCTGTGACAATAGTCGGGAGGATTGCTAAAAAGAGTAAATAAATATAATTGGGAACATGACAGAGTTTACAGAGAATTGTTCTTTGTTTAGACTCAGCTTGAGATGGCAGGATGGCAATTTCTTTTCACAGTTACACAAAGACGCCAAAGTAAAATGAACAGTGTTTCCGTCAGTACTGAAATTGACTTGAATAAGCTACATTTTATTGACAAGTTCCTCTTGGGAGGTCACATTAGCCAGTCCCTCTAAAGGAGGAGTGACACAGCAAAAAAAATATGCCAATACAAACTGGCTATGATTGCATAATTTAAGAGAAAGAAAAAAAAGGTTGTGTTCCCGGCAGGACAAATATAACCGCCTCAGCAACAACAAGTCATGAGTCGTGTCTAAACAGCCTTTCAGAACAAGAGTTTGGATATTGCTTTTGGTAATGAGCTAACTCCACTTTGTCCACGACATGCTTTAAGAAAACAAGAGTAAAAACAGTCTTTATACGCCGTCAGCCAGCATTTCTTGCCCTTTAAGTTCATCTTGTTAACTGTATAGCTCACGGGGTAGAGTGTTGTGGAGCTACGCTAGCAGCTAATGAGTATGATTAGGAACCATTAGATGCATGGCTGTCTGCACAATGGGAATGCAGCCATGTTTAGCAGGTGGCAGTGCAGGGGAGGAGACGGCACTCTTCCTGAATGCACTGGTCCATATGGTTTTGATTTGTTCGCAATCTCTTGATTTTGTAATTTCAGACATAAAAACGGCTTATTAAATCCAGGTAATTTGTCTAATGAGCACCTTCAGAAATGTAAAGGGGTTGAGTTCACTGTGAGGCAATTATTGTTATGACTTGTCATGTAATGACTGGCAAAAGGCTGAAGATAAATGTGTTATTTTAATAGGCATTATAATCAACTGTGGGCTATACTTTTTAAAGAAATGAATTGGAAACAGAGAGAAGATGAACACTTTCTGTCTCTTCTGTATGTATAGTGGCTTGGGTGTTCTCCTGAAATGCTTATGTAATATTTAATGTTAATCAGATATTTACCTGACACACTTGGAAAACACAGTTCAAATCGATGTTGCATTCAAATGATGCAATGAAAAGCTATTTGTAAAAGTATTTACTACACCAAATAATAATCCATTTGTAATTCTGGCCTTGCACTTGAACGCCACACTGCTGTGTGTTGTCATGTTAATGCTATCAGCAGGGTGTGTAAATGCTGATGGGGGTGTGTCATGAATTTGTGCCCACTCAACACCAATATTATCTTGAAAGCCTTGGGATCCCTTTGACTGACATGGTTTGAGAGAAATATCAAATAGAGATATGGGAAAATTAATCAGGGCCTGAAATAATGAAGTATTTGTAATCATTTATCTTTATTGTTATTGAGTCTTAACATCTAAATGGTAATTTCCTTATGCTATTCTGTTCACAAATACAACACATCCCCTGCTGCTTTCATGCCAGTTATAACATATTTCAGGACCTATTGTTAAACGCATTGAAAAAAATAAATTAATTAAAAAGCTGCAAACTTTTTGGAGCTTATTTGACACATTATCTTTATTTTAGGATAACAGAATGAGGGTTTTTCTCCTTCGACGACCTCAGGGCCAACCCACTCAGCTCATTATTTTCAATTAGCTCCACCTTTTTAGTCTCGGTGTTTAGGCTTTGCACCGCCGCTGCCTCTCTCTGCCTGACCGTCCTGCTGCACAACACCACCGTGAAACCACAGGCTTCGGTGTTAATTTCAACAATTAGTCCGTTCATTTTCAAATGGATGTGCATAATAGTTTTTTAAACGGCTTTGGAGTTTAACTTTTCGTTTCTCCATTATGCCTCGCTTTTTACATACTTAATCGTGTCTACTCTGTATTGTCAATACATCTGGGGGTGTTGCTCTGCAATATATTTTCAACCCTCATTTTGATTGAGGCACAATGGGTAATGTACATGTATTTAAATCAGTCAAACTGGTGTATAGATGATGGGATTCAAACATTTGAAAGAATATAACTACAAGGTTAATGTGTTTTGCCTTTAGGTAAAAGCTCTTTAAATGCTTTTACAGTGCAAAGGAGTAACAACTTCATTATTATGAACAATGTCAATTTACTACATTTCTTTGTTGGATTAATTTAATACTTTAACATTTTTTTTTTTTTTAATTCTTAACTACTTTATTTCTTTTAAAGAAAATGTGGTTCTTAAAAAAGGTTTGCCAAAAATAGTTTTATAAACAGTATAGAGTCCAATATATCTACGAAAAAAGACAGCCTTAACCACCCAACAACATGTGTGTGCATGAAAGAGAAGAGATGCTCTTTTATCTTTTAATTACACCTTAATGCGGATGTGTTAGAAACCAACCAATGGATAACTTCAGGCTATGTCATTTTAATTGAATCAAACAGGATTATATCTTAATTGCAAATACATGTAACGTGGCCTCTGCATAATACTGATGCAGTTCATATTGAAAAATTCAAATTAAATTATTATATTGAATTATCTTGCATGTATTATCGTTTAAATCGAATGAGCATTACTTTTGAGGCATTTGTTTAATTAACATAAAAACAAGGTCCATGTGCCGGCGGGTCGGATATTACACAATACCTGCTGGATTCTTTTATAACACATGGACACATTTACTGCATAGCTTTATCGTGAATATTTATTTTTATTTTTAAGTAATAAACAACCCTAAGTGTAGTTCTCTTTTTTCTTCATTCTGCTTTTTCCTTGGGTAGATCAAGGGACGAAAATATAGTCCTTGTGACAAGAAAGCAGAAGGACTTATGCAATATGTCTTACATTTAAGAAACCTTCAAGGAGGCTGTGCAATAAAAGCTCCTGAAATTAAGAAAAATTGCAGCACTCAAACTATTGTTGTCTTCAGCTGGAGGAGATGGCAAATCACGTTGTTTAATATCCTATAAATGATTGCAGCTCAGTTTATCAGATCTTGTTCAGCTTCAATAGAAAGAGGAGACCATTTGTTTATTTAAGATAATTATTTTACAGTTCAACATACATTTAAAGTATTTTCTCCACTGTAGCTATGTGCTGTTTGACCTGTTAACCCCACTCCAAATAATAAATGCTGCATTTTCATAGAATTGGCTATTAAAGGCGGGGTAAGTTTGATAAACCGGCTCGAGATACACTTTTTGTTATATTCCATGGAATGCTCTTAACATCCCGATAGCAATGAATATCTTAAGTGCTTTGACAAAAAATCCATAAAAAATGTCATCTGTGGAAGACTAGTACTGTAAAAAGCACGACCAATCATTTTAGCCGGCCCGGCTAAAGTAACTGGATGGCCTACCTGCCTGTCAGCCTTCCATCTGTGCACAAACTTATCTCGTGCCCTCATTGGTCATGTGCGCGTTCGTGTGTGTTGGAGGAGGGGCTCTAAGGAAGTGGCTTTTTTCCGGCTGTGTATTTTCAAATTCTAGCGCACTTGAGCTGGTTTCTCCAAAATTACCTACCCCACCTTTAAAGTCAATGTTAACAAACTGTTTGTACTATTTATCTTATTTCGTGTTCATATTATCTTTCTTGTGGATAAGGGTAACTTAAGGGTTGAGTTTTTTTTAACATTAAAAGTCTATTTAATTTGAAGTCTTAGCTCTCTAAGTCTTAAAGGTTAAAGAGCATCACATCAGGTTCACTTCAAGTTCAGGACTGATATTACGACAAGCAAATAGAAGTTGAAAACCTTCTGTCGGCATTCCTTCCTCTTCCTGTCTTTTTGTGTTATCTTTAGCTGCATTATACTTCAAATAACAGATCACACATTCACCATGTTAACATGTAGCTCTGGGAGATAATTGTTGAATCATCCTCTAAAATGTCAGTTGATAGTCACTTAGCTTTGAACATCTTGCTGAACATGTTTTTTGGTGGAATCAGGATTGCGGTTGACAGATCTTTCTGTGGCTTTGTGCTTCGGAAGATTAATTGTTAGTATTTAGTGGTGAGCAGTACATGTGTCAGGAATAACTGTGAATTACACACTGTCTGCCCACGGCTTTAATTAACCAAGATTGTTGGCACCATACGGAGCTGCTGCTGCTTCTTCTTCTGCAGCCAAGAGAAAGTGAAAAAACACTGTAAGAACTCTGAGAATATGTGAAAGCTACAACCAGTCTCTGCTTTAAAGCTCGAGAAGAGAATAACCGGATAGCAAGGGGAAAATAAAAATGCATAGACCAGGGTACGTGAAGGAAATGGTTAAATACATTCAGGACAGTCTTGTTTGCGAGTTCTTATCGGCAGGATTCTCCTCCACCATCATATCAGTCATAATGAGGTTTCAACATCATGACACTCCACATCATACCTGCATCTTAATCAATGTGACAAAGTGAAAGGCCTAACAAATAACAGCGTGCTACAGAGAACTCTGACTGCTCCTTGGTAAAGCACAGAGTGGATCTCTGCAATGTGAGAACACAAACATTGGAGCTGATTACCATCGCCCACATGTTCTATTCCTGCAGCATCGGACCACTTTCTTATTCCCCGAAAAAATATATTTTCTGTCTTTAAAAATGTGGGGATGGAGAGACAAGGTAAAAAATATTTTTCTGTACAAATAAGAAACCCACTCTCAACCCGTCTGATGTTATAAACTACAGGCCTGTCTCTCTCCTCCCGTTCCTGTCTAAAACATTTGCACGTGCTGTCTTTAAACAACTCTCCTGTTATCTCCATCAGAACAACCTTCTGGATCCGCACCAGTCTGGTTTCAAGGCAGGTCACTCAACAGAAACTGCCCTCCTTGCTATCTCTGAGGAACTGCACACTGCCAAAGCAGCATCCCTCTCCTCTGTCATCATCCTGTTGGACCTGTCTGCTGCATTCGACACGGTGAATCATCAGATCCTCCTTCACACTCTCCAAAAACTTGGAGTTTCAGGCACTGCACTTTCCCTCCTCACCTCATACCTCAAAGACCGTACCGACAGGGTAACTTGGAGAGGGTCCGAGTCCGACCCTTGTCAATTAACTACAGGGGTCCCTCAGGGCTCTGTTCTTGGTCCCTTCCTCTTCTCCTTGTACACAAACTCGCTCGGATCAGTCATTAGCCTGCATGGTTTTTCATACCACTGCTACGCTGATGATACCCAATTAATTCTGTCCTTTCCCCGCTCAGAGACCCAGGTCGTCGCACGCATCTCTGCTTGTCTAGCTGACATCTCTCAGTGGATGTCTGCTCACCACCTCAAGCTCAACCTTGACAAGACTGAACTGCTTTTCCTGTCAAGATTGCCCCACTCTTGACCTAACAATCAACATCGGCACCTTTGTTGTTTCCCCGACTCAGACTGCAACGAATCTGGGTGTGATCCTAGATAACAAACTGTCCTTCACTGCAAACATCGCTGCTACAACCCGCTGCTGCAGATACACTCTTTACAACATCAGGAGGATATGTCCCCAGCTGTCCCAGAAAGCCACGCAGGTTCTGGTCCAGGCTCTTGTCATCTCACGCCTAGACTACTGCAACTCTCTCCTGGCTGGTCTACCTGCATGTGCCATCCGACCTCTGCAGCTCATCCAGAATGCAGCGGCTCGTCTGGTCTTCAACCTTCCAACATTTTCCCACACCACTCCGCTCCTCCGCTCACTTCACTGGCTTCCAGTAATGGCTAGAATCCACTTCAAAACAATGGTACTTGCGTACAATGCTGCGAATGGATCTGGCCCTTCCTACATCCAGGACATGGTTAAACCGTACACCCCAGCGCGTGCACTTCGCTCTGCATCAGCCAAACGGCTCGCTGCACCCGCACTGCGAGGGGGACCCAAGTTTCCATCAGCAAAAACACGTGGGTTTGCTATCCTGGCTCCAAAATGGTGGAATGAGCTCCCCATTGAAATCAGGACAGCAGATCTGCACATCTTCCGGCGCAGACTGAAAACTCATCTCTTTCGACTCGGCTTCGAGCGATAGAATTACTAACAAAGAACTGCTAACAAAGCACTTATATACTAATAAAAGACTGGCTTATCTATAGCCAGTTGAGTAGCACTTGAAATGTTTGGCTCTATGAAACCTGATGTACTTATATGATTCTGTTTTCTTCAAGGTTGTGTCTTCCTGGTCGAATGTACTTATTGTAAGTCGCTTTGGATAAAAGCGCCAGCTACATGCAATGTAATGTAATAATAAGCAGTTAGATTACGTTGTTAACATCTTTCTCTGTTCTGACTTTTGATTGTTTCTCTGTAGGGAATTCTCTTAAGTGTTCAGCAATCATATCTTTAAATTAGACCTTTAACTACATTAGTTTTAAGTGATTCATTTTCCCATTATTCTCTGGGATGGTTAAACCTGATGTTGCCTTCACACTAAGGATCACACTAACTTCCACAGTCTGGCATTTACTTGATTAATTAAAAACCATGCATCGGTAATGAAACTGCTGAAGTCAGACCGGTGTGTCCTTAGTTTGTCCAAACAACAGTCCCAAATCACTTAGAAACAATATGTTATAAAGCTATGCAAATCCTTGCAGCAAAAAAGCTTTTACCAGAGAATGGAGTTTTAAATTACGTTTTCTGTCAATCGATTAATTAACTAATTACTATAGCCAACCTTTGTGCCGATACAAGGCCCCAAATACTTAAAACTCAAATCCAGTTGTTCCTTGTGTATCCCAAACATGTTAACTTATTATTATCAAGATCCAAAATCAAATCGCTTTACTTTTGTGTAATGGCCAAATACATTTAAATACAGAAAACATGAAGATCATCCATTTTCATTCCTGCATTGAGGACGTCTTCAGTGTTACAGCAGCAACAAGGATAGTGTCAAGAAGATTGTTTAAATATTAGCAATGGCATTTTTGAATTCTTATATTATACACATTTATGAAAGAGTACAATTTCTGTTTTCTTTCATATACTAACATTGGCTTCACAACACTGCATACAAAAGCAGTGCTTTACAAAGTGTACAACCCGTAGTGATGACTAATAATGAAGCTTTATTTATAAAGCACTTTTCATACAACAGAGTGCAGCTCAAAGTGCTTTACAAAATGACACATCACAAGTTAAAAACAAACAGCAAGAAATTCCCCTCAGATTATGTGTTACAGGTACATGCAGCAAAATATAACATTTTATCAGGTTAATAGACACAAGGATATAAATAATGGTTTCTCTCTGACAGATAAGACACAAGACAACTGAGTCGATGCACCAATATAAAACCCCATAAAATAGGAAATATCCTTTGCCTTCTGTCCGCAGCCACCTCTCCCAGAGCTGCTCCCTGGATGAGGTCCGTCTGGACGGGGACCGGTTTGTGCCGCCAGCGCCCCGGAAGGTGGAGATGAGACGGGACCCAGTGCTGGGCTTTGGATTTGTGGCAGGCAGTGAGAAACCTGTGGTGGTCCGCTCAGTCACACCAGGTAAAGAGCCCCGACAGTCTAGTACAGCAATGACTCACCCTATCCATGGATAATATCAACACAATCCCCAAAGCAGATGAAATCCTGAAACCACAAAGTAGAGAGGAAAACCCACTCAGTCTGTAGTTCACGCGGATGATTCATTGATTTGAACAGCACTCGATGAATAAGCATTCATTAGAGCCCTAAGCCACGAGACAGGAAACAAAGAAAATGGCATGACTGTGCACTTTGTACCACTTAACCGTTGTGTGGTGTGTGTTGGCAGGGGGTCCATCAGAAGGCAGGCTGGTCCCAGGAGACGAGATCATCATGATCAACGATGAGCCGGTCAGCTCAGCGCCCAGGGAGAGGGTTATTGACCTTGTCAGGTATGACCACACACTGAGGTGAGATGTCATTTCACCTGTTGATGATTATACAGTATACTACCAATACAAATGAGTCACTCTACTTGGAAGTTTTTAGGTTTCATTGTATTACAACAAAAAATCTAAGTATATACAGTAATGACTCAATGAAAAGGTAATATATATACAAAGTGTACATGATTAATAATTTGTAAAATACATGTTTGCATTAGTATTTAGATACAATATTTGGGGTTAAAAAGTCACATTAAATCCCTTAAGAAAAAACATTGAAACTTAAAAACTTCCAGGGCACTGTTGTTCACTTTTTTAAACTTTAGAAACAACCAAACTACTTTTAACAGTTTACCTTTTATGGACATATTGCCACAGATTTTCAAAAGTAGCCCAACTTTCTATAAGACCTTTTGTAATGTAATGAAACCAAAGGACAGATATGGCACATCATGAACCACCTGCTCTTCTCACCATGATTTGGCCTTTTGCTGGTGTCAATGCTTGTTCATGCGTCTCATTAAATTAATATCACTGACACAGCTGAGAGGCTGGCTGTGAGCATTGGTCCTCGTACGACCTGTGCAGCGGTCTGTAAACAGAACATTAGTCCAGGGAGAAGTGCCCAAGTGGCCACTCCTTCACTGCTCCTGTGGCCTTGAATGGACTCTGCAGTAAAACTGTGAATGCAGGACATGCTGCAGGACCATCACTGGGACACAGTGTTCCTTGTGATACCATCCGCCATGATGTCCAAAAAATAACAGTAACAAAAAATGAAATATTTCCAGATTTCCTTACATTTGTTTTATTTGAACCTTTATCAAAATGTATTCTCTTGTTTCTGTGTCTTGCAGGAGCTGCAAGGAGTCCATATTGTTGAGCGTTATTCAGCCGTACCCAGTAAGTTTCTCCATCCTCTCTGAATGAAATGGAGTAGATTCCAATAAGCTGTTTTAGCCAGTGGTGTAGTGGGGATTTTTTTACTGGGGGGATGCTATTTTTAATTAGGTAATCCCAAACAATGCCACAGCAGTGCACTCACAAAACGGGCAGACAGGTCCACAGAAACTACCGGGGTAAAACAAAATTCCCAAAGTTCTCCTGGAATTAACTTATTAAATAAACGAAACGAAAAATATAGCCTACTTATGCAAACAACATTGAATCTGGACTTGACATAATCCTGATTAGGCCTAGCCTACATTGCAAATAAGCAGACAGCGCTGCTTTTCACACACACACACACACACACACACACACACACACACACACACACACACACACACACACACACACACACACACACACACACACACACACACACACACACACACACACACACACACACACACACACACACACACACACACACACACCACACACACACCTTGCGTTTCGAAGACTGATACATCCGAAATGGATGAACAAACTTTGCAGCCCAGTTTCCCAGCTTTGCAGGCTATCCACGGGTATGCCTCTTGTTTCCTCCGGCACATCTCCTCCGTCCACACCTCTGGGAAAGGTGAGCTTGAGCTAGCCAGGGGAACGTTGCAAGCGCAGCTAACGTTAACGTTAGTGCTATCATTATCCACGTCTTTAGGCGGCTCTTCTGATGATGTAGTACTAGTAGCAGCTTCACTTGTAGCTTCGGTACTGCTAGCCTCTTTCTTCTTGTGAATTATATTCTTTTTCGAAAAGAAGTCAAGTAAAAAAAATGTGCCTGCCATTATAGAGCTTTTTCGTTAGCGTTCTGAGGGAAAGAGCTGCCGGAAAATCGGCACACCCTCAGCTCGCCGCGGGGTCACGAGCGTGATGACGAATCATAATTCTTTAAGGAAATAGTTTTTATTTTGTATTATAATTAGTGTGAAATATATTATGTTTTTGTCATTATTACAACAAATACACACTTGCAACTGATAAGACTGGCAATGATTTTATATTTATTAGACTATTAAAAAAAAGATCATGCATAAGTGGGGGTACGGCGTACCCCTGCGTCCAACGCCCACTACACCACTGGTTTTTAGCGCTTAAAGATCCCCTAATATACTGTTTTTCATCAATATATTATAGGTCTCAGATATATACATGTCTCTGAAGTGTTCGGCTCCAAATACCAAACAGATCGTGCATTGTAGCATCCCATAAACCCCTCTGTTTCAGCCCTGTTTCAAAAGTGCTGATTCTCTGTCTGTTACTTAGATGAAAATAAGGAGCCCCTCCCCACGCCCCTCTGAGAGATATTTGGTTGAAAAGAACTCAATGGTGCTCTAGGAGGAGATTCAGGTGATAAGGTGGGGGGTGTTGCCTTGATTGGTGATTGGCTAATGGTTACACAAGCCAAAAAAATCGTTATGACATCATAAAGTGGCCAAAATCTGATCAGCTCATGACAGGTTTTTATATAAACAAAATGTGAGCGAATCTTTTTTCCTGAAACTCCCAGAATCTCTTTACACAGAGGGGACACATGTTTATGTATAAAAGACATGAACATGTGGATTTTGCATAATAGGTGACCTTTAAAGCAGATTATTTATTTGAATCAATAAACGCAATCCATTAATCATGCCATATGTCTGTTCTGGCACTACTAAGGCTGCGTGTAACAGTCCCACTTACTCAAAGTAGTCCAATTGCAGCAGCGTTTCCAAGTCTTCTCATGTTGTAGAGTCAGGTCCTTGAAAGACCTCGACTGAACCTGCCACTTTAACATTTACCCCAGTCATGAGGCACCAGATGGTTGTGAACACAGTGCCAGAAGCGTATAGTTGACCTTTATTTATTCTGCACATAATAAGTCCGTGGAAATGTACATTATGCTTGAATAACCTCAACAAATAGACCAAATCATGTGTGAGTGCTCACAGAAAATATATGGTGTTTCTAGAGTGGTGCCATCTTTTAATTCCCTGTACACTGTAACATAATAATGGTGTTTTATGATGTAAAACCTTTCCCCTTAACTTGAAAATGTAATATCTACATACATACATGCATTCTGAATGTGTGTGTTTCAGAGGCTTATCATGATGAGTGTAGAGTCATCGCAAAACAGCCACTTAACAACCTGAAAAGGATTTGATTTTGCAAAGAAAACATGGATGTAGTATTCCAGAATACTCAGAGGAGCAATCAGCTCTTATAATACACCCTGTAATTGCATCCGTTTACCAGCCATTTCTTTGCAGCCAGCAGACAGCGAGGGGACCCTCCCTCTTGTGTCCGACACACAGTCTCCCGTATTGCATCAGCATCAGAGTGGAGACATGGGATGTTGTCATGTTTCCAGAAGCAAACATGTCCTTGAATTTTGTGGAGCTGAAAAAAGGAAATGACTAATCCCTTAAAAGGAACTAATTGTCCTTTCAATCTGTTTTTGCTTCTTCCCCTTCAAAAGTCACCCAAATCGGCATTCATCAGCGCAGCCAAAAAGGCCAAGTTAAAGACTAATCCTGTTAAAGTCCGCTTCGCTGAGGAGGTCATCATCAATGGCCAGGTCCCCGTAAGTCACACTGGACATGATTCACTCTGTACACATCGAGGATCTGAACAGGAGGCGACAGTGGGCAGAGTTTCACTGTGAAAGCAGGCAGAGAGGAGAGGGAAAATATCAAAATCACTAATGGTAAAATACAGACCCGCATGAGAAAGGCACCTGCTCCTCATCGCTGGAACGAAATAGAGAGCATGTGGTAATGATTGGCAGAAATAGGAAGGCACTCTCACAGAGATGCAGACATTTCTTAGAGAGTAACGACAAAGTAAGAAGACCTACCTAAACAACAAATACCTATTAGTGAGCAAAAAGAACAGCATCATTCATAAAACCAGAAAGAATTTAGGAACTACAATGCATTAGTGTGTAACAAGTACTACTCTCACTACAAAACGAGTGTAAATTGGAAAACATACATGTTTTCTTCTGGATGAGAAAATCGATATCACTCACATACAGTAGGCTTATATGTATCTGTTGAATATGAAGTTACAGTCAGGAGAGTAAACCTGCAATAATCTGCCTAGCAACACCTTTTATAGCTCACTAATATGTTATATATTAGATGTTTAATCCATACAAATATGTGTTAAAAGGACACCTTGTGGTATAACAGGTTTTAACCCTGACTATTTTTGGATGGGCTCCTGTAATAATAACTATTCAAGTATGGGAGTGTATCAACTCTGTCATTATAGCAAGAAAGCACATTAGTCTATATATTTTTTTCATTTTCCCTTCAACCTTCAAATTACTTACTTATTAAGTTCTTGAATGTGCAATCATTTTCAATAACACAATTCTCCTCATGCACTTTCACTAAAGTATATCATCTTCTTTCATTTTGAGATTTGTTGAACAAATGATTATTTTTCCATCTTTAGGAAACGGTGAAGGACAACTCCCTTCTCTTCATGCCAAATGTTCTGAAGGTGTACCTGGAGAACGGGCAGACTAAATCGTTTAAATTTGACAGCAGCACATCCATCAAGGTAGGTGCAGGAAAGAACCTGGCTTTAATGTGAAATGCAGTTGCATAATCTTAATTGATGTTCCGTCTAAATGTTGAATGTTATTCTGAGTTGCTCTGCACAATATAAAGTGCAATCTACTCTTCACTGTGGCCTTCAGAACTTTATCTGAATGGAAATTATAGTTGAAACAAAGATAACTTTTGAACCCAATTAAATGTGCGGCAGCCTGGAGATCTTGGTCAGCAATTAGCATTTCCATCATGTTTCCTTTTGTCAGTTAACAGGCTCAAAGTATGTTCAGTTGTTTTTGTGTGAGCTCAGCCATAAACTCAATTATGGTGTTGGCGATGGGCTGAGCATGCTGCTGCATCTGCACACTTCGTATATTGTATTAACGATGACTTTGTGTGTGTGAAAGGACGTCATCTTGACCCTGCAAGAGAAGCTTTCCATTAGGAGCATCGAGCACTTCTCTCTAATGCTGGAGCAGAGAGCCGAGGGCTCTGCCAGCAAACTAATGCTCCTGCATGAGCAGGAGATGCTAACTCAGGTGAGACAACTCTCTGTGGTGCTGCTAAACAGGAGAGACACAGTTAAATAATAGACAACCACCCTTGACTTTAGTATGCAGTCATGTGTTTGCGTATTCAGGCTGTAGAAAAACCGGAGCAAACCTGCAGTCTATCTCAGTCTGACTGCTTATATTTGAAAGATGTTAAAAGCAAAGGTTTGACATTTTGGGAAATATGCTAAATCACTCGTCTGTCAGAGAAGCTGAATAAAATATTTCCTCATGAACACCACTACTTCTTATTTTGACATTTGAATGGATCCAATAAAAGACACAAATAAACATTGATGTGATTTTTTTAACCTTTTGGACAAAGTTAGTCTTGCTGTTTCCATCTGTTTCTATGTTATAAGCTAAGCGTAGCTAAGCTAACCATTTCCTGACTCCAGCCATGAGAGAGCTACCTGTCTTTCCATCTAACGTTTGGCAAGAAAGCAAACAAGCTTATTTCCAAAACCATTCCTTGAATCCCTGTCAAAATGGTATATTAATCCTGACGGACTACATGCATTTAGTTAAGATCTATTGTTGCCTAATGGGACCATCTTTATCTTTCGACTCATGCCATAGGTGACACAGAGGCCAGGGTCGCACAAGATGAAATGCTTTTTTCGCATCACTTTTGTCCCGAAGGATCCTGTGGACCTGCTCAGGAGAGATGCGGTAGCATTTGAGTACCTCTATGTTCAGGTGAATATCAGCAGATGTGGATAACACATACAGGCACATTTAATGGCGACGTTTAAGGATTTATGGTATTCTGACTCCTCGGATTTAGTGGAGAATTGAGTGTTTGCTAACGGCATTAGCTAACATGTGGGTGCTGTAGGTGTGTTGTCTTCTTGCATTTCATGATAATGAAGGTAATTGAAGTGTAACCTCCCCCTGTCCTCTCCCTCTACGCCTCCTCCAGAGCTGTAATGATGTGGTATTGGAGAGATTTGGGTCAGAGCTGAAATACGACACGGCCCTCCACCTGGCTGCACTGCAAATGTATATTCTAACCATCAACGCCAAGCAGTCCCAGAAAGTTTCCCTCAAGTACATTGAGTAAGTAGATTTCACACTGCAACATGTAACCATTGAGTATTGTGTTGTTTGCCTACCAAGTCTAGAAGGCAAACAAAACAATGATCTCACTGTCACCATCCTTCTGTAATGCATGATGATACATCACTGCTGGTTAGGTAATGATTCTGACTGTACCCTGTCAGATAATCAATGCACCACCTCGGAGGAAGTAGATCGATCAGCAGTCAAGAATAATGACTATTTGACATAGTGATTGAGTGACCTTCTCTAATCTTTATGAATTGTGCGTCCACAGGAAAGAGTGGGGTCTGGCATTGTTCCTGCCGCCTGCAGTGCTGTCGAGCATGAAAGAGAAAAACATCAAAAAAGCCCTCACCCACATCCTCAAAACCAACCAGAACCTGGTGCCGCCTGGTAAAAAGGTAGGGTACATCTTCCCCTTTTCTCTATTCCTCCCTCTTTATCTGCATCCCCATCTCTGTCTTTGGAAAGACTCTTTACTACCATCTGGTGGGGGGCTTCATTAAAACAATTAGTGCTGCGTGGTTGCTTGAATGGATATTGTTGCAACTTTTTTCTTTTGTGTTACCCATTTCAGCTTTTAACCCAACCTATATTTCTTGTGTCCTTCCCCATTCCAGCTGACCGCCTTGCAAGCAAAGGTGCATTATCTGAAGTATCTCAGCGATTTGAGGCTGTACGGAGGACGGGTTTTTAAATCCACACTAGTTGTGAGTGAGGCCATTTTATCACATTGTGTGCAGCCACACTGTGTGTCACACGCTGTTCATTTGCATGCAGAAAGTGATACTGAATCTCTCATCCCTTTCACAGCAAGGCGAGAAGCACACAGAAGTGACATTGCTGGTGGGGCCTAAATATGGCATCAGCCATGTGATCAACACCAAAACAAACCTGGTGGCTCTTCTGGCCGATTTCAGTCATGTGAACCGCATTGAGATGTATACAGAGGATGAGAACAGGGTCAGAGTGGATCTACATGTTCTGGACGTAAAGGTTAACAAATCCTCTTTTCAAAATATAGAAATGTGTGCGCTGTCTGGTTGTGTGAATATTTTCTAGGGCTTTGATCTTAACAACACCAAGTCATTATAACGGAACTCCCACTTTCCCATTTATTTTGTGCTTATCATCATCTGTCTCTTTCACAGCCCATCACTCTCATAATGGAGTCTGTTGATGCGATGAATCTGGCCTGTTTGACTGCTGGCTACTACAGATTACTGGTGGACTCTCGGCGCTCCATCTTCAATGTGGCCAAAAACACAGAAACAAGTATGTTTGAAATGCCCACAGCATGATTCATCAGAACGTTTTTTTAAATAGACCTGTTTTCATGCTCTGGTTCCTCTTTGCAGGCCAAGCAGCGAGAGTAAAGCAGACCTACCAGGCCATCGAGTGTACATACAGCACGCCCCATAAAGGATTTGAGGACAGAAACAACCAGAGGTGCAACCAAGATTATTCTGAGCAGGATAGTGAATACCTGGATCACGGGAGATTTGAAGGCCAGCCAGTGTACATAACGGAGATCCACCAGGCCCAGCACCCGGGGCACACTGTAGAGAGAGCCGAGTGCTGCAGAATCCCATGCTCCCAAACTTACCTCAACATCCCCAGGCCCAAACCCCAAGACTCCACCAGGAGTGCAAAGGTCTCCTTCATATTTGGAGATCCTCCCTTAGAAAGTGTTAACCCCCAAAATTTGGGCTACCAGAGACTGATGGATGAGGGCCCAGAGATTCTAGACAATCACAGCCACATGTACCGGCGTCTCGAGGAGGACTATAAGATGATGGATGCCATAGAGGATGGGTATCAGTACTCCACCAAAATCTTCGGTCCCACGGAATGCATCGAGGAGCCGCTGCTGCACGATATCTGCTACGCGGAGACGACCGATGACGCAGAGGACGAGGACGACATCAGTTGTGAGGAGGACATGGTGATGAGTGACATAGACAAACCCATGTTGCTCTCGCTCTCGGGGTCCAGCGATGACATCATTGACTTGACCTCCCTCCCTCCCCCTCCGGAGGGTAATGACGAGGAGGACAGTGACGTTCTGCTGCACTCGCTCAACCTGGCCATCGCTGCTCCTCCCCCCGGCTTCAGGGACAGCTCTGACGAGGAGGAGCAGCAGCAGGGGGCCGGGACTCGTTCCCACGGGGCCCGCAACGATATCCCAGTGTCTCTCATAGATTCAGTGCCCACCCTCGGAGCAGAGGGCCACGGGGAGCCTCTGAACGATGCAGTGGTTTCCACCTTACAGGCACTAGAGGCCCTCGCTGCGTCTGAGGAACAGAGTCCGGCTCAGTCCGAGAGTAGCACAGGTTCTCCTTACACTATTGTAACGTTCATCCATTAACATCATACGTTTTCCAGCCATTCACTTTAGATTTGTCATTGTTGATTTTTTTCAATAAAGCCCATTTTGTTCTATGTTTCCCTTTGTGTGAGCATTTTTTCATTCATTTCAGCATTTGTGTTAATTTCAGTATCATTTTCTCAACATTTTATTATTTCATGAACCATTTTATAATGTTTACATACTGCACGATAGCATGCTAATATCCAAATAGATCCGTATTTTGATTGTATCTTATCTTGTACTATCTTCTGTGTTAGTCCAAGGTTATCATTAACTCCTTTTCTCCCTCACATGTTGAATCACATTGTCATCACCATTCATTATTTTTGACTCATTCCCCTTATCTGTGATATTTGTCGAGTGCCCCAGATGAATTAATTAATGAAGTGTTTGTCTTTCTGTGATACACAGGTGTAGAAATATCACGGGCATTTAGTCCCGACTCCTCCGATTCTGGCAACGAGACAAATTCCTCCGAGATGACAGAGAGCTCAGAGCTGGCCACTGCTCAAAGACACTCAGAGAACCACCTGAGGATGCACATGGCCATGGCAGAAGGATACCCAGCCGTGAACGAGGAGAAGACAGAGTCCGCTTTAGCCAGCGTTGGTGGAGCGGGAGCTTTGCAGTACCACCCACAGGAGCATCAGGATGAGGAGGCGAAATCATCTGCTGTCGCCTCCTCCCAGATTTTTCACTCAGATGGCGGTGAGATGGAGCCAGAGACAATGGAAATAAAATCAGTCAGTGAATACTTCACTAAGCTGCACATGGGCTCAGTAATGAGCAGGCAGAGAGGAAAACAGAGGGAGGCAGAGAGCAGAGTCCAAGGAGAAACCTGCGAATCCTCGGACAGAGGTCACATGACCTCTCACGACTCGGCTAGAGACGAGCCCGCACATCTTGTTGGGAAGTACAACGCTTTCACTGTGAGAGATGCCTACTACATGAATCAACTGGATCTGGGGCGAACACACTTTCAAGACAGAAATAAAAAATGGCAGCCCGGAAACAAGATGGCAGAAAATCTTTCTCCAGAAATTGTGAATGACTCACAGGCTTCCCACGCAGACAGGTTGACAGTAAAGGGAGACAAACGGGACTTAGATGAAAGAAGCCAACAGTCAAATGTCCACTCACCCTCGAAAGGACCCGGTCTTGCAGAAGGAGAAGCAGCCTCACAGGACAATGAGCAGCCGCACGCTTTTTCACGCGAATACCACGTGAACAAACGCATGTCCTCCATTCAGAGTGAAGGCGTCCATTCTCTGCAGAGCTCCCAGTGTTCCTCTATAGACGCTGGCTGTAGCACAGGCAGCAGCAGCTGTGTCACTCCCATGGATTCTCCTCTCTGTGCCACAGACAATATGCATGTACTGTCAGAGTCCTCGCTGAAGGGGCTGGGTTACACACCTGGTGAGGAAAAAGCTTACGGGCCCCCAGGTCAGGGGAGGGCCGGCCATCCCATAGACCCCACCCTGCTGAGGAAGATCCACTCAGCGACCAGTGCGGAGCCGGGATTCGGGATCACACGGGAAGGCAGCCACCGAATGCCCAAGATAAAAGAAACCACAGGTAAAACTACACAGGAGGGTGCTCTCTCTTATCTAGCTAAATAGAAAGACTGAAAAAAAATGTTAGCAGCTCTCTGATGCTGTACAGAAGTGCTTTAAACTTAATGCCATTGCAAGCATGTGGAAATACTCCAGGTGATTTCTATTTTATTTGAGCATCTATTTTAGCATTATAATTCTGTTGCGCACAAGTCTCCTCCTTTGAATTTTCTCTTAACTTAAACATTTCAAAATACCTTCTCCACTTCAAGCCTCTCGAAGAGTTTTTAATTAAAAATAATCTGTTTCAAGTAAGGCATTTTAAATGTTTTTCTACCTGTATTTAGGTATCTGTTTGAACCTTAATTAGTTATGATATCATTTTAACAAGTTTTGCAAATTATCATATTTTCCTGAAGTTTGAAAATAGTTGATTACACAGATGAATGTGTGCGGTCAGGGAGATGCTTAACAGTGCTTTTTGTTTCCCTTGTACCCCTAGTGTAGCTTGCACACAGCTGGAGAAGGTTGGGGAAGAGTCATCTTTAGCTCTCTGTATTGAGAGCAGTACCACCACCACAACCACGTCACCTTCATCTTTAAGAAGTAGCACAGAGCTCGGCGGGCTAACACAGGCCAGCCCCGAGCCCGACCCACAAGCCCTGGCTTTCCCTTCAAGCGGACCTTCATGTGACACTCAAACAAGCAGCCTCAGGAAGCCACACAGGGACCGGATGCTCAGGAGGAGCTGGAGCGCCATAATGCCAGCTTCCAGGAGCCTAGAAGCGCTGCTAGAGAAGACAAGAGCCACACTTACAAGGAAGGGTGGCAGTCAGAACTTCCAGTCTCAAGATCCCCCAAAAGTAAAGAGGATATTCTCTGCCAAAACGTTGTCCAAGAGCTGGTCCCTGGGTTCAGTCGCCTCTAATCCATCTGGTAGAAGGCAGATGTGTTCAGAGTCCACAGCTCAGAGGCTGGGCACGAGGTGCCGTGGGCCGTTCAGTCACTGCTTCCTGCGGAGAAAGAAAAACACTGACGGTGATGACGAAGACAAAAAGATGCCTCTGTTCTCCGTCAGCTCTCTTTCTTTCAATCGCGAGGAAAACGCTGTCTTGAAAGCTGACTCTAAAGCTATGAAAGACATGAGCCTTGAAGCCAGGCTGGCTCGTGTCAATTCAATGAAGGGAAAAACATACAGCCTTCACACAGGGTTCGCACTCGCACGTGAGGATGCCTTAGTGATGGTCGGCGTGTTGCGTTCCAGCGTCGGCCGTTTGTCCAGACGTTGGAACCACGAGGTCAGCGAGGCCGACGCGGATACGTCCTCAGAGCTGCTCCTCACGCAAGCCAAAGTGCTGAGCAGCGCCTGCAGTCAGATGGCTGTGGAGTACAGCAGCCCGGAGGAGTTGCTGCTCACGCTGACTCACAGCTTCCACACACTCTGCTGTCTGACGCAGGCCTGCCTGTCACTGGTGGACGAGCTGAGCGAGAGCGAGCGGCGGGAGGTGGTGGCAAAGGTGGAGGAGGTGGTCATGAACTACGTGCGTCTGCTGAAATCTGCCGAGGCAGCGTCGGGAAGATCCCCCGGTGACCAAAGTGTGAATGCATTGACACATCACTCTGCCACCATGTCTGTTATTCTAAACGCACTAAGTCACTCACTGAAAACACTGCTCAACAAATAAACTGTTGTTATTCCGTCCTGATTATTGATTTTAAAAGCCATACATGAGAGACATGGGTTTGACAACCAATGTGAACTGCTGTGATGAAAAAAACTTGCCTTGTGTATACGATATTTTATTATCTAAAATAAATTATATAAATCATTAAAGTTTTAAATATATTATATTAAGGCCTCTATGAAGAAGAATATGACACTCCTCTCAAGTATATTATCAGATATTATATGATAGGGATTATTTTTATGATTTATTGGTTACAGTAGGGTTTTACCATGTAGATTATTTCAACCTTATAAGTACCTTGTTTATAAATTGTAAGAATATATATTATGTTAAAGAAATGCATACACAATATAAAGCTATCGACGAATAATTGCACAGGACAAGACGTGAATAATCATTTAAATGCATATTACTTCTTTTTTTGCTGGAGTCACCTTAATTTATTGAGCAGTTTACACGTTGGAAACTGAGTACTTATCTGTTATTATTTGTCAACATCATTAAAAAGATGAAAACTTTTCAAGTCTTTTCAAATTATTTGTGTCTGTTTTTATTCTAATAACTAGAGTGTGGTTTTGTTTATGACCGCCCTCTCATATAGTACCAATTGTGTTATTTAAGTGCTTCTTAATTTTCATTATTAATAAATAAAGGAAGCTTGACCCATGTTTAGTTTTTACTATGTTTAAAAATTCATGATTTCACCATATTCTCAATCCTGAGTGGTGGTAATGCTTTTTGTATTAATCATGATGATGACCCCTTTCACTCAGGGTAGAGCGTTTGCTTACTGTTGTGATCACCCTTTTAGTTCAGCTTGTTAGCATGCTAACCTTTGCTAATCAGCACAAAACACACAGTACAAATGAGGCTGATGGAACTCTCATTAGTTCTGCAGGTAATTTTTCGCTAACAAAAGTATTGACATTTTTTTGCAGTGCAGTCAATTGTATGGCTGCTATACAATTCAGTCTGGACTAAAGAGGTAGATCAATAGCAGCTAGCATGGCTAAAGAGCCACTTTGGCATCAACTCTTTTAACTGAAGTATGGTCAGGTGGATGTTTTTTCAAAAATTGCAGTATCTATTCCTGCATTGGGTTTTGGGACAGACAAATACTGTCTGGATGAATCACGTTACTAAGCCATAGAACTACTAAGTAAAAGGAAAACTATTCTGCTTTGTGCTAGAATAGCATGTTTACCATGTAAGTGGTCAACCTTAACATGTGCACAGGTTTCACTTTCCCCTGCAAGCTAACCTGAAATGAAACAACTCTTTCCCATCTCACTGAATTACCCACAAATCCTCCAGCTGTTATACTATCAAGACACTTCAACCTTGATCTCTTTTTTTTTTTAAGAAACTCCTTCATAGTAATATTTGCATGAAGCCAGTTTACACCATTAGATAACAGACACAATCAGTCAACTGTCTTCAAAAATATTTTAAATGATGGACTTGCATGTGTGCGGTTTATGACAAAAGGGAAGTGATGCTGGTTAATAATACACACGATGGATTAACCCAGCCACCTGTTACTTTCATCCCTTCACCTTCGAGCTCATCCTCATGTCACACTTTGTTCGTACTCCATCCAACCTGACAACAGCACTTGTAGAAGGACCTCTTTAAAAATCTCTCATGTGAACAATGTTCTTCCACCTGGTGAGTACCAGTAATATTTGTTCATATACTGTGTTGATTTATAATTGTATGCATTAGTGAAATGACAGGTTGTGTTGATAAGAAGGGCTGTAAATAACAGAGGAAAATGAAACTAGCTTGTGCCGGTTGTATTTTAAAATGGCATCTAGATACCTTACTCAAAGGGTTGATTTGTATGTGCATTACATGTGTTTTATTTAATGATGTGACTGTATTATCAGCTTTCCACCTACACACTTTCCTCAGTGAACAAATGTGTTTTTTGTACAGATAAGTGTGGCAATGCTGAGCCTGTGGTGCTGCCCCATCATACTGAAAGCTAGCATTTCTTACCCAAAGACTCTGCCATGTGATGTGAGCGAGGCGAGCGACGGGAGCGTGGTGACGGTTGACTGCACTGAGAGGAACCTCAAAGATATCCCCCCGGGCATCCCCAGAGACACGACCAATCTGACGCTCACCATCAACCATATTCCTAAATTAAACTCCACCTCCTTTCACGGTCTGGAGAACCTGACTGAGATTGACATGAGGTGCAACTGTGTGCCCATCAAGATCGGGCCCAAGGACCGCATGTGCAACAAGAGTGTGATGATCGAGGAAAACACCTTTACCGACCTGAAGAACCTGCGAGCCCTGTATCTGGATGGGAATCAGCTCGACAGTATACCTAAAGGCCTCCCTGCAAACCTGATCCTCCTGAGTTTGGAAGTGAATCATATTTTTTATATTTCTAAAGCCAACCTCTCTGAGATTAGAAACATTGAGATTCTCTACCTCGGTCAAAACTGTTATTTCCGTAACCCATGTAACGTTTCCTATGGCATAGAGGAAGGGACATTTTCCCAGCTTAACAATTTAACATTGTTGAGTCTCAAGTCAAACAACTTATCCTTTATTCCAAATCTACTGCCCACGAGTCTGAAGGAGTTGTACCTCTACAACAACAACATTCAAAAAGTCACTGAGGAAGATTTCAAAAACTTAACTAACCTTGAGATTCTAGATATTAGCGGAAACTGTCCTCGCTGTTACAACGCTCCTTTCCCATGCGACCCCTGCCCAGGTAACTCAGCCCTCAATATCAGCGAGACGGCTTTTAAAATGTTGACAAAGCTAAAGACACTGCGCCTGCACAGTAACTCTCTGAAATATGTGTCATCTGAGTGGTTTGCCAGCACAACAGAGCTGAGAGTGCTTGATCTCTCATCAAACTTTTTAGCAAGAGAGATAGGAGTCACACACTTCCCTCATCACCTTGGGAAACTAGAAGAACTGGACCTCTCCTTTAACTACGAGCTTCAGAGGTACCCTGAAACACTGACGCTGAGCTGCAGTTTCTCCTCCTTCAAATCCCTCCGGATCCTCAGGATGAAGGGCTTTGTGTTCCAGCAGCTCAAGTCAGAGAGCATTGCTCCTTTAAAACATCTCACAAACTTGGAGGTTATAGATTTGGGAACAAACTTTATTAAAATCACAAACCTTAGTATTCTGATGGAATTAAAAAGCTTTAAAATAATCAGTCTGTCTGACAATAAAATATCTTCCCCCTCTGACGGCCAAGATTCTGTGGGGTTCTCCGGGGGGGAGCCCCAGTACTGGACCCCCATGTCCCCTGCAGCTCAGTACAAAAGTAAGGAAGTGAGAGAGATTCATTACTTCAGATATGATGAATATGCACGCAGCTGCAAATACAAAGATAAAGAACTCGGCACGGTTGCATCCTTTGTCAACACGAATTGCAGTCAGTTCGGCAAAACCCTAGATGTGAGCAGAAACAACATTTTTTTCTTGCATCCCAGATTTCTAAATCTCAGAGAGCTGAGATGCCTCAATCTGTCGGGGAATGCAATGAGCCAAAGTCTTAATGGCACTGAATTTAGCAATTTGATTAATTTACAATATTTAGACTTCTCCTCAAATCGCCTCGACCTGCTCTACCCCACTGCCTTTCAGGAGCTGAAAAATCTGGTCATCTTGGATATAAGTCGCAACAACTATTACTTTGAGTCAGAGGGCTTGACTCACATGCTTAATTTTACCAAACATTTGAAAAATCTCAAGGTATTGCTCATGAACCACAACAAGATCTCTACTTCTACTAACACAGAGCTGGAGAGTCAATCTCTGGAGAGGTTAGAGTTCATAGATAACCGGTTAGACATGTTGTGGAGGGACGGGGACAACCGGTATTTTAATTATTTTAAGAAACTAGCTAATCTGATTGTTCTCGACATCTCGCATAACAACCTCCCCTTCATTCCACAAGAAGTGTTCAGTGGTTTTCCGGACAAACTGTCGGAGCTCTACATCAAAAATAACAGACTAAATGACAAATCTTTTTATTGGGAGAAACTAAACCTTCTACCATCTCTTCACGTCTTAGATCTCAGTGGAAACAGCTTCACCACTGTTCCAGCCATGTTGTCACTCTGTACCAAATCTCTAAAGAAGCTTCTTTTACATAAAAACCAAATCCTGAAACTCACGCCAGATTTCCTCAAGGGCGCCCACAACTTAAAATATCTGGACCTAAGCTTTAATCACCTACAGCACATTGAGAAATCCAGCTTCCCAGATGATGTCGTTAATAACATGGACATGCTGCTTCTGCACAAAAACAGATTTCTATGCAGCTGCAACGCCACTTGGTTCATCACGTGGCTCAACACGACCACGGTGAAGATCCCCAGGCTGGCCACGGAGGTTACGTGCGCCAGCCCGGGGGCTCAAAGAGGTCACCCTGTGATCTCAGTGGACCTGCTAGCCTGCCAGCACAACTACCTGTCAATCATGCTGTACACCCTCATGACTTCCCTTGTCCTCAGCTTCCTCACCCTGTCAATCTCCAGCCACCTCTTCCTGTGGGACGTCTGGTACATCTACCACTTCTGCCGGGCAAAGCTCAAAGGTTACGGCCGCCTGTACTCCCAGACCTCTGCCTATGATGCCTTTGTAATATATGACAAGGAGGATGCGGCCGTGACGGAGTGGGTGCTGAAGGAAATGTGCGCTCATCTGGAGGAACACGGGGACCGCCGCCTGGCGCTGTGTCTGGAGGAGAGGGACTGGATGCCCGGGTGTCCTCTGATCGACAACCTCTCACAGAGCATCCACAACAGCAAGAGGACCGTGTTCGTGCTCACCAACAAATACATCAAAAGTGGCAACTTCAAGACAGCGTTCTACATGGCCCACCAGAGGCTAATGGATGAAAAAAATGACGTTATCGTACTGATCCTCTTGGAGAAAGTACCATGCAATTCAAAGTACCTGAGGCTGAGGAAGAGGCTCTTTAAGCGCTCGGTGCTGGAGTGGCCCACTAACCCTCAGGCCCAGTTGTACTTCTGGTTCAGCCTGAGAAGTGTGTTAGCCACTGAAAGTCACAAACAATACAACAACCTCTTTAAGGAGACACTCTAAGACAATGAACTTTCATTCTTAGTTCCTCCTTTCATTTCATAATTGTACTTCTGTATATAAATAATGACTTTTGAATGCCAAGCAACCCAGTTTTTAAATGCATTTCTGTTATATGAATGAACATTTGTGTGCAGTCCCTTAATAGAGAACTTTCTGCTTCTCTTTGGCATCACCACAGATAAATAAAAAATGTTTTCTTTGTCTGGGATACGAACATACTTTCACCATACAAGAAAAGAGGAAGTGAAAGAGAAGCACTTCTTCAAATGAAATGATACTTCTGTCCCAGAACCAGAGTTTAGTTTTACTTCAGCAACCAGTGGATTTTATGTCTGCTGTATATTCTTGATTAATATTAAAAAGATTAACTCGTAGTGACTTCAGGCAAGGTCACGTGTTTTTTAAGGCTGTATTTCAAGAAACATAAAGGATCAATACGCTGCATACACGATGGTGAGTTTATTTGAAACACATTTCTCTGTATATTCTTAAGGTTTGCTCTATATATATATATATAGATGTATCTACTGAACTGTAGCTTACAACTTTATTCATCGGCGTGTGTTATGGATTTAGATTGAATTCTTCTTTAATGTAATCTGTTTTGATTTTGTGTTTCTGCAATTATGTTTACGGCACTATATATTACTGTGTATACTTGACTCATTGAAAACTGTTATTTTATAATGTGTTGTTCTACATTTCATATGGAACATTAAAGTTTACTCACAACTGTGTTGAAAAAAAACAATTCCTGTCACCTTATTCAATCAGTATCGATCTCAATTATTAGAGTAACAGTAAACCCATTACCAAGCAGTGATCGGTGGACTAGAGATTACAAACATTATTCATTCATATTTATTATTATCAATATTTCACTAACTCAATGCTTTTGTTTAGAGTTGGAACAGGTTGATAAAGAATACAATGTGATGCTGTCTCTGTTAAAGTCTCTCTACAACCTTAGGCAACCTACTGTTTAAGGAACTACACTTACGGTTTATCAAAGTGAGAATGTGTAGCTTTTAGAGGAAGTGCTAAAATAATAATACGGTAGAAATCATATCATATACCCTACTACATAGTTCAGTGACCTCAGGAGTTTTGCTGCTAAAGCTTGGTGTGACTGGTATAGCCTGGTACGACTCATATCTTATGGGGACTAATGTTGGTTACAAATAGTTGTTTATCTGACATTTCTGAGTCAATAAACTACCTTTTGGCCATTTTCTACACTTGTTATGGTACTAAATAGCCATTGTTGAGCAAAAGGTTAATTATTTATAGCTGTAAGGCAAACTATGTTTCATTGAGGGCCACATACAGAAAAACATACGAAGGTCTGGGCCACTCGCTAGAGGTGAGGTATATTGCCTCATAAGTTAAGTTAGCAATATAAATGTAGGTAAATTATGCTTGATACTAAGAAAATAAACCTACATCACAGCTTTCCATAGGGTTTCATTTATTTTGTTGGCAGCCTTAAAACAGAAGCCTTAGATTGCTTTTAATATGGGGAAATATGAAGGGTATATTTCAAGCTTGTCATGTAGATAAGTTATTGGGCTTTTTTATTAACTAAGATTTGTTAGGAAATGCTTTCAACCATAATTGCCTGCATTTTTTGGAAAAGTGGGCTTATTAACACATGAATACTGTATAATATATTTGTACATATATATTTAAGAAGTACAATATAAGACAAGCACAAGTTTCAGGTGTGGGCCATATTCCATTATACTTTTAGAATCTACTGAGGGCCGATTAAAAATGGACCACGGGCCGCATCTGGCCCCTCAGTTTGGACAAGGTGTTAAAATAGTGAGAGTGCTGCCACCTGCTGGATACAAATGGTGCCATTCATAAATACCATTTGTCAAATATGACCTGAAGTCAGGTCCCCATATTGATATTGAAACAGGTTTGCTTGATGAATAAACCACGTTTCATAATGTATAATGTACTTGATGATATACAATCTGTTTATACATGTTTGTGGATAACTGACTATACCTCGCTGCATTGCACTAACTCTGTTGTTCATCCACAGACGGTCGCAGTTTGGATGCACTTGCTGCTGTCCTATCTGTGTTGCCAATGTAAGATCCAGCCCGCTGAAAGCAAACCTGAGTGGATGAGACTGCAGTTCCCTTGTGATGTCACAGCCGACAATAACTCTAATGTCCTATTTGACTGTGGAGGCCGTCGACTGCAAGAAGTACCTGATGGGATAACCAACAATGCAACTTATCTCAACTTATCAGACAATTTAATTTGCCATATTTGTAATGACTCATTATCCAACTTGCTGAATCTGACCCAACTTGATCTCAGCAGAGCAAACAATGACAACACGGTGAACATCACTGTGAATGCTTTCAAAGATCTGACAAAACTGCGTGAACTGAGACTGAGTGGCACTGGTCTGGAGGAAATTCCTGCTAATCTTCCTCCCAGTTTGGAAATCATCGAGCTGAACAGTAACAACATTACGTTGTTGATCGGGAGCTTTGATTGCTTAGCAAATATTACACAGTTAGTGTTAGCCAGAAACTGCTACTACAGCAATCCTTGTAAGACATCTGTTAACATGGAAAACCGTTTGGAAGTAATGAGCAAACTGAAGCATTTGGACTTGTCCTATAACAACTTAACTGAAGTTCCCAAAGGATTCCCACAGTCATTAGGCGTGTTAAAGCTGGATCATAACAGAATAAATCACATCCGTGATGGTTTTCTTATGCTTCCAAATTTAACAGTCCTGAAATTAGAAGGGAACTGTCCAAGATGTGAAACACCTCCACATCCCTGTGTCACCTGTCCAAAAAAGTCTCTTGATATTGATCCTAATGCATTTCAATATCTAACCCAGCTGGAGATACTGAATATGGGAGGAAACTCACTGAAACACCTGGATCCTTCCTGGTTTAAGAGTCTGAACAAACTTAAACAATTGTTCCTGATATTTAACCTCTTATTTAAGGCAATTACTGAGGAGGCAACATTTCTGAGACATCTTCCTAAGCTAGAGAGACTTGATATCTCTTTCAACTATGGTATCAAGTTATACCCTACACAATTAAATCTCTCAGAAGAGTTTTCAAATCTTAAGTCCCTTCAAATTTTTCATTTGCAGGGATTGGTCTTCCAGAGTATTGGACCGGAGACGCTCAGACCTCTGTACCAACTCAAAAATCTCTCTATCATGAACTTAGGGACAAACTTTATTATCCACTCCGATTCCACTGTATTTCACAAATTCCACAACCTGAAAGTGATGTACCTCGCAGAAAACAAGCTTTTTCCCACTCCAGATAGAAATCTGCTTGATTCATCATGCGGTGGTTACAATCAGAGGTCCGAACTTTCTATTCCTCCGCTCACAATTCCCCATCCGAGTGATTTTGTTTATGAGCACGTGAAGAACCTTGTCAAGGAAGAGTGTTTTAACTCTGGACGAGTGCTATCTCTCAGCTCAAATAATATGTTCTTCATTTCTCCAAAGCAGTTTGTTGGCTATGAAGACATTGCATGTCTTAACCTCTCAAAAAATGGATTTTCAGCAGCACCTAATGGTACAGAGTTTTCACTACTGCATAATCTAACATACCTGGACCTGTCATTCAATAAGATTGATTTGGCCTATAACGAAGCCTTCAAAGAACTAAAGAAACTACAAGTGCTAGACCTTAGTTACAATGAACACTACTTTGAAGCGTACGGGGTAACACTTAATTTAAATTTCACACAAAATCTTCCTGCTCTGAGGGTGCTGAATATGAGTCATAACTCCATTTCCATTCTAACCACCAAACAGATGTACAGCTGTTCATTAACAGAACTTCAGTTTACAGATAATCTTCTGGGGACCCTTTGGAAAGAAACAGATCACTCATACGAGAGCATTTTTACTAATCTTATTAATTTGACAATGTTAGACATATCTAGCAACCACATTTTAACACTTCCAGACTATGTTTATGAATATTTGCCACGTAACCTCACCATACTACGCATAGGTCACAACTTGCTTACTGATTTTAAATGGGACGGACTCAAGTTTTTCCATCAACTTCAGATTTTGGACCTGAGCTTCAATTCTCTACCTAATGTGACAGTTATAAACTCAAACGTAACCCGCACTTTGACTTTCCTTGACCTGAGTCATAATGACATTTTCCACTTGGACAGTGGATTTGTAAATGGTGCAAAACAGCTTACAGCTCTTAGCCTAAGCTACAACAAACTGACTATTATCAATGAATCCACCTTCCCATTGAGCCCTGAATCTCAGTTTCACACTTTGTTCTTGCAAGGCAACCCGTTCCAATGTACCTGCGATGCACTTGATTTCATTATTTGGATGGAAAAAAGTAATGTAAAAATTCCTAGACTAATCACTGATGTGACATGTGACACACCAGCACATCACAAAGATAAAGCTCTGATCAAATTTGACATTAGGGAGTGTATAGATGACAGTCAGGCGTTCTTGATTTACATTCTCACAAGTTCATTAATTATTGTTTTTATGTTTGTGGCAACAGTTTCCCACTTTTTTTACTGGGATGCTTCCTACGTGATGCACTATATGAAAGCTAAGATAAAAGGATACAGAGCCTTTAACTCACCAGGCGCCATTTATGATGTCTTTGTGACTTACGACACCACAGATCCACATGTCACTGAATGGGTGATGAGGAATCTGCGAGTGAAACTGGAAGAGGAAGGAGAGAAGCATCTTCCTCTGTGTCTTGAGGAGAGGGATTGGACCCCCGGCGCCCCCCTGGTAAATAACCTCACTCAGAGCATCCAGTACAGTCGCAAGACCCTGTTCGTCTTGACAGAGGGCTACGTTAAGACCGGGGTTTTCAAACTGGCAATGTATCTGGCCCACCAAAGACTGCTTGATGAGAACCTGGATGTGATTGTGCTGCTGATGCTGGAGCCCGTCCTGCAGCACTCTCACTTCCTGCGCCTGAGGAGGAGGCTGTGTGAGAAAAGTGTTGTGGAGTGGCCGAGAACAGCTGCTGCTGAGCCCTGGTTTTGGCAAAACCTGAGGAATGTGGTCAGAGTGGACAACAAGTTGATGTACAACAAGAAATATTCAAAATACTTCACCAGCAAGTGAGCCAATGACTGGGACAGATCTGTATAAATGTGGACAATTATATTGGGAATATGTTCAACTGTTGCTCTGATAACATGGTCCTTCACAACTGTTACCACTCTCCTTGGGCCTCAAATGAAGACAAATAAATACCTTTGATATTTTTAATCTGTATTTAAAATGATACTTCATGTCTTGCTATTACCCTGTGTAAATAAATATGTGTGCCTGTCTGTTATCTGGTCTCTATCTAACTTAAACCAATATGTCTAAGATCAACCATAAAAAAGGGCAAAAATGTACCGCATTATCCTCTTTTCAAGTTATTGGTCATTGGTCTAGCCTCCAGAGACAAAAACCTCAGAAACTCAAAACAAAAATTGTTGAAATGTGCTTAACTAAAACTCTCAGCAATTGTATGCATTGTAAATTCACATTGGACGTTTGTCTGATACCGTTATACTATGGATGCATATTGATTTATTAAAACAATATGTAAATATAGCAGATACACATATACCTGCAGGTCCTCATCTACACTTCCTGGTTTTCACTTTGTTTGTCCGCAAGGTGTCGCCGCTTGATAACTTCTCTGCATGCATGTTAGGCTGTAATAGTGCGCTTTATGCAAGTTAAACCGAAACGAGTAAACCCATTGTCTCATTCATCACTTGTTTAACTACATTTTATTCGTTTTGTGGCATAAATTAACACCTGCTATGACGCCTTCTTTAATGACAGGAAAAACCCGATGGGTGATTTAATTCCCCTAATCAGATGCAGGTGGTCGCAGTGTTTCCTCAAATACATTCACGCACGTGACTGATTTAAAATAAAGTTTCAGCCTATGGATAGGTTTGGTACTTTTGTTGTTAAAGAAAAATCATATTATTAAAAAGCAGGTTTAAGAGACAGTGGACGTGACGTCAGAAGATGATTTGCATACTGCGCAGTATTTATAGTGGGATTGACGCTACAGCCATCACTACGCTCCTGCGCCACCCAGACGAGTATCGAACTGTCTCTCTGACCAAAACTAAGGTGAGTGTTCATATTCACGTTTTCTTTAAAGCCTCTTTCTCGTTTAGCCTGTCTATTGAATGATTTGGTCACCGTTGTTTTGATTATATTACGTTTCTCCTTCTCCCACAATGTCCTATCTCATTATCAGACAGCGTTACACTCGCGTATGTGTTCAAAGCTCCAGGAAATAATCAGAACATTCAAAACTCTTTCCCGTTTTCCACAAAAACGGCACAAAATGACATGTAATCAAGTCTATGGATCCAATCAAATGCTACATGTTTTGTTTCAGTAACCTATGATCTGATTGGCTTACCACTTTTAACCTGAGATTCAGTGCATGCTCAGCCTTTTTGCGTTAGTTATATTGTTCACTGGGGTCTGCTATAGTTGATGCAGTCTGCTCCTCTAGATTGCATTAAAGGGCGGGGTCCCATCATCTGCCCGTGTGGACTAACTGACACAAAGCCTGTCTCAAGTCTGGCGCTGATAAAACGGCACATGCAGTGTCTGCATCAGCCCTAGATGTTACTTATAGTTGAGTCATTTAAATTACCCTACACGTTGTTAATTGTGACCTTAATCATCTGTTCACATGCCCAGTTGTGTTCTGATTAAACTCTATTGAAGCAAAGCTGATCTAAGGTTTCTTATCTGTTTTAGAGCCTCTGCAGATATGGCTGACAAAGCGGATGTATCAGGAGTAACAACCTTCGACAAGTCCAAGCTGAAGAAGACGGAGACCGCTGAGAAAAACACCCTGCCAACCAAAGAAAGTATGTGCAGTACCTTAACATGAATTGCTATGGTCAAAAACCCTTTGTACTAATCACACACACTCTATTTGTATCCCTCTTGCAGCCATCGATCAGGAGAAGTCAACATAATGAAGACTAGTCCTCCTGTACATTTCACAAGCCTTGCCTTTTTTCTGTTCAAAAAATGGGTAGATGTCCCTCTGTACAGCAAGGAAGCGTGGCCTGGCATCGGCATGGGTTCCTGATCAGCTGTTGTGGATAAGTGCAGAAGTGTCATGAAACAACTGAGGGACCTACACTTTCTGATTTGTAACCCTTGTCTGCTCACTTGTAAATGCTCTTGAAGCAAGCTGTGTTTTTTGGTAACAAAATCTGGATGCACATGTTTGTTTAATATGCAAAATAAAAAATGTTAACTGACTTTAATGTGTCCTTGTGGTTTTAATTGTGTTTTTAGTACCGCCCACATGCCACTTTAGAGCAACACTTTGGTCACAAACGCAACACAAAATGAATATGGCTTTTTCCGCTTAACAGCATTGGAGTAAATTGAAGGTGTTGCTTCTGTCTGTAGCTGCTAGCATAACTGGCATGCTCCATTTTCAAATCATGCTTTCAAAGCAAAGGATGTGTGAGTTAAAAGTGACACTTATATGGGCTCTGCTGCTTTTGCATGATATTGAGGGAAAACCCCAATTTGCTATACAAGAAAGGAACAGGATTCAGAATGCAAGATGTCCAACTTGTAAAGTGTACAGTTCATCCTAATGGAACTTTTTCACAATATAGTAACCTCTGTCTCACATCCTGTAATGACTGGTTGAAAAAATCTTACAATGTACTACTTTGAAACTTCAACACCTAAATTCCACTCTAGAGGAAAACCCATCCTTTGTTTATGAATTTCAAACTAACTTTAAATGGGAACAGCCTAGCAGTACTAATCATTTTACCTTAGGATACTCCAACATTCCTGCCTTGTAGCTGTTCCAACCTGAGCAGGACCACACCTTCTTTCTGTTATCACAAATGACAGGTACTAACTTTAAGGCTGTGTTGCAAGATGCCCTGAGGTCATGAGTGCTTGAAAATACAGGAGTGCTATTATAGGGTGAGCCAATTAATTTATTAAATACATGATGTACATTTAGCCTCAGATAACAAAATACAGAAACCCAAACTATTAAATGTAAAACGAGGTACATTCTTTGACTAGATGGCAACACATTTCCCCAACTAGGACTGTGATCAATTCATACTGAATTCATACTTTAGCAGAAGGAGTTGATGTAACAAAACCCCTGGTGACTGCACTGTTTAGACAATCTGACCAAGACAAAACCTGAATGTACAGTCTATTTAAAGAAGAAAATAGGAAGACAACCTGTTCTACCTCATTCTGCTGCACAGGGACAACAGCTGTACCTCATGTGGGGGGGAGAGAGATTATGTAAGGCATGTTTATGGACCAGCTGTGCTGAAACAATAACAATAGGCTCTGGAGGGATTGGTACAAGTTTAAATGCATCCTCTTTCCCATGAGGCTGCATTTAATCAATGTTAATTTTTAGTATGGGAAAAAGGGACAGTGTATTTGTCTATTATTCCTTTTTAGAAGCAATAAAAGGTCAAATATATACTCTTGCATATATCTTATGCCAGCCCTCCTCTACATTTTCTCCCATCCTAATATGAAGTCTTGCCACCCAACAGCTCCCCAGTGTCCTATAACAATGTGTGCCTTGGAGCAAACAGTAGCCCATATTACACATGAAAATACAATGCTTTCTCCTCCGCACATTGTTAAACTGATAAATGATATATGTGTGTAGCCTCAGACAGATTTACGTCAACGCAACTCAAGGCTTTGGCATCATGCTCAGAGATACTTTGAGGGGAAGAGATGTTGAAAGGATCAAACATATTTTCTGTTCTATGTGGGGTTGCCCTGTTTTTACTGATGCTGGTTATGTGGGTCTGCCTGGTCAAGACCTGATAACTTTCCATGAAAAAGGGATACAAATGTCAGTGAAAGGACACTAAGGGCTTATTGTGGTGAACTTGGCATTAGGCCACCAAGAGGCCATCTGGCAGTGTTGTGACGGGCACCCTCTGGACTGTCTGTGGCGCTGACTGACTGCAGCCCACTCCTGAGACTGCCTCTGGCTACATACGTAATGTGCTTTGAGAATAAAACCACAGTAAGAATCTTTAAGGCTTGTACTCTATAGCAACAACCACGTTGTATAGTTATTTTAACCTCAAATTAACCTCATTTATCTATGATGGGTCAAGCTGGATGTTACAGCATTAACATTTACTCACAAAATGACCATTTGTGTATCAATAACTCACCCCGTGTTTAGTATTCTGTAGGACAACGTTTTTTTTTGCATGTCTTTATGTTCACCGAAAAACCTTAAAACAAGATTGTTCTTGCTTAAGAGTTGAAAAACGGTAAGGTTTAAGCTAACATTCTAATTTGGGAATTAGTGAGCAAACGCCTGAGTGATGAGCCTTAGCACTGCTGTTTTGTGAGAGTCTTTTCTCCTTCTTTGGACACCTCACTGTGGAGGCGAGAAAAACAAAGCTTTCTTCGAGAATTCAAGGTAACACAGGATGAGTCATTGTTAAACAAATGGTCATTTTGTGGGCGAAATATTCCCTTAATGCAAATATAGTGTATACCAACCTGTGTCTCATTTTCTAAACCAAAACAATTCACATACAAAATGATATTATAAGGCATCCCATGATAATTCCCTGACATTGTCTTCATTTAACAGGAAAGGCTACAGGGGATAAAACAATGCTCGTCCCTATAGGTTATTGTTTTTACATGCAGAGGATGTGGCACCTGCTGAGAGCACGGTGAGACGCATCTTTGTGTCTCTGCTCCTTCCTCATGCTTCTTGTGCCCTGTTGCCATGGCAGCAGACAGGAGATTTTAGCTTTCCACACGTTTTCCCATGATCAAAGAGACTGCAGTGTTGTTAAGAGCTGTACATCGATTCAAATAAGCAAGCAATCACTCCCTAGGAATCACATTATCAGAGTAAGTAGAAGGGATTTCAGAAATTCCACTTTTGTTACGACTTCCTCCGAAGCAATAGATTCTGTTTTTCTAATTCTTTACAATTTTTTACTCTTTATTTCTGTTTTTACATGATATAATTGTTCCTAATTATGTGCAATGCCTTGTTTTGTTATGCTGCTGTAACAAAAAATCCCAATTTGGGATCAATAAAGTGTATATCTTATCTTATCTTACACAAATATTCCTACTTAAATTAAACCCGTCAGTTATAATGGTTTTATCTAGTTGTGCTATCATTCCAAATGTAATGTTGCTGTGGGAAACATATTGTATGTTCAACTTAGAGAAATATGTAAGCTATGCTGTTAGAAATAGTCAAATTCAACCCTCCAGTGAACCTCTTTTTCGGCTGGTTTGGTCAGGTTTGTGCCGAGAAGAATGCTTGGCACTCTTTGGGTAAATGTTAAACATGTCTACCCGCCCAAGCATGTCCACCCTGATTAGGCACATCAGTTGTTTGTAAACAAATCAGAGCTCCAGCATGTTCTTTACAGCCCGTCAGACGTGTATTGTTGCATAAGCCCCAAGGTAAAATGGCCAAACAATTCCTGAATTATTCAAGTCATTCTTTATTTTTAATTTTGTTGTTGTCATTAAACAATAATAAGTTATTGTTATTTTTGATTTAATTGCTGCTGTTTTTGTTACATTTCCGTGCAGAGGGACAGAAGACATAGTGTTAATAATTAAAAGGCTTATTTAAGACTCCATTTTAAATAATCCTAATGGTACCAATGGGTGTGGCTGGCACTGCCATAGAATAACAGAACTGAATAGCAGCAGAAAAACAAAAAAATCACAAATCATCATAGATACATTAGCGATTAGAACATTATAAGTAAACTATAACATGTGTAATTGTCAAACTAAAATGAAATGATAATATGGTACAGGTTTAGATTGATTTATATAAGAACAGTTTACTCTATCTTTACTTTAACCATAGGTGTGATAAAAAGCTGGAGCTGGGACAGAAATGGTCATTCATCTGTGTAAGGAGGTTCAGCGTCTTTATGTTCTTAATTCAGACCAAACCAAGCAAAGGACAATTCATCTTTGTCTTCATTATCAAACCCACGGTGGGAAAAAGCAGTGCTGCTATTGTGTGATAGGTAGACACAAAAGCTGAGGGTGTGAGCCGGCCAATCCAGTGACACACCATAATGGTTGCTATGTGTGACAAAGAACCTTCCAGAAACGTGCCTTGCCCTATGCTTCAGATTTGTTGTGGCAGAGGGGGGATAATCCACCTATCTGGCTGACAAACTGATCGTTTAGCAGAGACACGCACATATTTTGTTCTGTGTGCAGAATCTCTAAAAGCTAAGGTGCTTACAGCAATTTGAAACTGCATTAGAGTAAATACAAAAGCAGAGTAATTAAAGTTGCCTGACAAGATTCTTATTCTCTGACGGCAGTAAACCTATATGTAGAGTAAACAGCAAACCACAAATTAGTAGAGAATGCTGTCGTTTCTGGTGTCAAGTCTTACCGAATTACAGCAAGGGTGGCGGCCAAAAGGGCTTAAGGTCATTATGTGAAGAACAAAAAAGACTCCCTAACCGGATAGAAGCTTATAAAGCAAAAGTTGGATGCATCAAAAATGGGAATGGGAAATGTGAAAACCCCAGTTAAAAAATTAAAAGGCACTAGGAAGATGGAGTCCTATAAAAAGATGGAGCCCCATAACAAGAATAGAATCAGAAATGGCAAAAACAAAATAATGTTAATTGTCCACAAAAAAATAGTATCTGCATCCCTTTACAGACAATCAGCTTCTCCCAGATATGTAACGGTGAAAATTACTGACTTACTAACAGTCTTGAAAACCATGAAAATGTATGTAAAGGACCAACAAAGAGCAAAGAGGAAGGCCTTGAAATGTACACTAAGCTACAGGCATGTAAGTAGCCTGGATTTAGAGAGAAAACACAACTCTTTCTTACTCATAAATGAAAAGCCATAAGCCATTTAAAGCGTTCACTACACTGTCACCTATGTGACTCCTGAAATAAATGGAAAACACTGCTCAATTATTACATAATAACTTCTCATTTTAAACATGTCAAGAGAAGAGCTACCTCAACAACACAGCTGTGAAGTGGAATACAGTACAGTTAATCAAGGATGTGACAAGTGTTACACGGTCAGATTCCCCTAAGGAACCTAATTAGAGGAAGAAAGACTACTTTGGCTTGCTGGACATTTTTAAATCTGACTAGCTAGGCAGATGTGTCCTGAGTGCACTGACGGAGACGCAGTGTAGTGTGATTCAATGTGACATGTGCATGCAACCTTTCAGCTGCAAGAGTCACCCTGGTGAG